GGCAGCAATTTTACTAAGAAGTTTCTTGAACAATATTTCACAGTTTATGTTTCTTAAATGTGAAGATTTGCTGCTTTTGCTTTTTTTTAACAATATTTTTAAATATTTAAAATGTTTTGAGTTGTTTCTGCATGAGTACTTTCACTCCTAATAATTTAGGTACAATTTCACACTTGCACTCAAATACTTTACTTAAGTAACATTCTCGATGCAGAACTTTGACCTGATATTGAGTATTTTTACAGCGTTGTATTAGTATTTTTACTCAATACTTTTTCCACCACTGTAAACATATCAGTCCTTGTGAACGACTCATATCCCTGCATGTGTGCTCCACAGGTGTGACCTCCCACTACGTCCTGCAGCCCTCCCCCTCCCTCTCCCTCCTCCTGAAGCCGGTGGTCTCCAGAGAGCTGCTGCTGCCCTGCTCCCTGCCCGCCCCCCCCCTGGAGCCTGCAGCCGACGCCCTACACACCGTACAGGTCAGCTGCTCATGGCAACACATTACAGAAGTACACAGGCAGAACTCAAAAAGCAGAAATAGACTCATTTGAATAGCCGTTGTGAAAATTGATACCAGGAACACATGGGAAAGCTGTTTCACTGAGGTAGTGTCTGCACAAACAGAAAACCACCTGGAGACACAGTATACACATTTATAGATATATGCAGTTATAATGACACAGATGAACGTATGAATGTATGTGTAAGAAATGCAAGTATCACAGTACGTTTTAATAGAAGACACTATCATACTACCAAAAATCAATAGTGTTGTTAGGGATATTTTTTTATCATATTTAATGATTTCATCACCCTAAAATAAAATGTAAATCCTCAAATTGACCATATTGGAGTCTTTTTTTAATTAAATCAACTTTCTTTAATCGATATAACTCCCTTACATTTGGCTAACATTAGCATAATATTTTTTTCTCAACATAGACAATTATTTGAAGTTTGAATTACATTTCAGTGCAAAATATCTCTCAGGATATTAAATATAATTTAGGCAGAATATGGCCTTATGTGTATGAAGCTCCCTGTCCTAGTTGTTCAAAGGGTTTATTTTAACAGGGTGCACACTTTTCCAAAGCCCTTAAACCGAATATAAGACAATCAAATGTGTTTGTTTCTTATGTCAGGGATGTCTCTCTCAGCTGGATGAGGAGTGTGTGTTCAACCCTCTGTCTCTGAGCAGTAACCTGTACCAGCACCTGAGGAGCAGAGGAGCGTTCTCACAGCCTCGATACCCATACAGGTAGATGAAAATATGATGCAAATAAATCTGTGTGGCCTTTGAGATCATTTGACATCAGTGTCATTACCTGGATGTAATGGGAGTGAGGTCAATGATGAGTTGATATCTGATGATTGTTGATTCCAGGCTCCAGACAGCGGCACACAGAGAGCAGGCTCAGCCAGCAGAGGGGGCTAAAGCCAGCAGACAGCAGCGACAGGTAACACACACACACACACACACACACACACACAGCTTTATGGCAGTGTAAAGCTTTATGGCAGTGTAAAGGTCAGGATGTGGTGCACCAACCACATTTCAACATGGGTAAACACGAGCAATTTGACATAAAGAATATTTTTATAACCCTCATTAAGATGATTTGCTTTACTAACTTCCGCCTCATGTCTGTCTTCTATATTTACTCAATAGAGGGCAGTGCTTACTATGCAGACAATTCAGAGCATTATTACATGAACATAAACAAGGCCTATGTAATATGTAATCAGATGTATTTATTAGTTTTCTTCTGACTCAGATCAGTAATACGAACAGGTAGTCCTTCCTTTTTTTCTAGGAGCGCATAGGATTTACTAAAACTCTTTCAAATACTTTACCTCATGACCGTTTTACCAATTTAATATTACAACAATATGAAATGCTTATGAGACAAAAACAAACAAGCAAGTAAAAAAAAATCCATATAAAAATATACTTGCATTAGATTTATGGTCAAAACTGCCATCTCTCTTCCAAGGGGATCTTTTACTTCACTTTTTTAATTGTATCACAAATAAAACATAATTGCAATAATAGAAGTATGAATAATAACAAATGTCTCCTCTTTCATTTGTATATTCAACGGGGGAAGGGGCAAAGCAGGCATACAAATAGACACATCAGGACCAAAATATAATCGAAATATTGGATAATTTGAATAGTTATTTAAATGAAACTGTGAGATGTTAAGCGAAAGAATGTTAAAGACATCTGGAACGTGACAAGGAGACACACTGATTTTATAAAAGAAGTCACAAGATTAAAAGTTTGGGAACCACTCGGTAATCTTTAACCAGGTTTAGTATTTTTATAAGATGACCATGAGTTATATGTAAATGTTTAATCAGAAACATAACTAAAGTTGTAAAATAAATGTCCAACACCTCATTCTGAATTTCAGTGCAATATAACTTTATCAAGCAGTGTAAAATGTTATCAATGTAGACTGTTTTTCAGAAGACTGGTAACAAATTAACTACCGAGAAACAACTTCTTGACGTTCACATCACTTATTCATATTTCATCCGTCCACATTTTACGTCATCTCACCCAGAGGCCCACTGTGAGCAGAGTGAAGCCGTTGGCAGTGTGACTCATCAGGTTGATAAGGCTGCTGACATGCAAATAGTTCACTACAGCGGCGAAACACAGAGAAAATGTTCTTCCGCTCTGCTTTTGTTTCGTTCTGTTCTTTGGCACACTCTGTTTGTATTCTTATCATAATGTTTGTACATTTGTACCAATGTATGTCTCTGTTTCCTGTCTTAATCTCTTATGTTCCACAAACATATCCTCTTCTCTTTTTATCCCACTCCTTGTTTTCTTCTTCTTTCTTTATAAAACCAACAACTGGCATTAGCATACAACAGACACAGGAATGAGATAGCATGTACCTCCACAAAAGCCAATGGGATTTGACCATTTGATTTTCCAACACCACTTTTTTTTGTCTTTTGAAGCACAAATGCACTTGCCAAAGGTACAAAGCTAATGTTAAAACGCTAAGAACAAACTACACCACTGACTTCCCGTTACTAACACTAAGCTAACGGTGGGTTACTGTTCAGTGTGATGAAAACAAGAAGTCAACTTGTATCTGACATCAGCCTTTTTTAAGACACTTTACAGCTTCAACATTCACGTGAAAGTACGTATTTCCTGTCAAAGAACATAATGTGAAAAGCTTGTGTTAACCACAGTATTTATTTCAGGCATCTAACCCAAAACACATACAAAAACCCTTTGACTTCAAAACGAAATGAACCAAAAGTGATAAAACGCTGACTCATTTCCAGGTTTTAGGACTCATCTCTGCAGTTCTCTATTATTCAATCAAAGATAACAATATATACTAAATATCATTTTGAGTAGAAAACCTGAAATATAAGTGTGTGTTGTGTTCACTCAGCCACAAAACCAGGGGCGCCAACTAGGAATGAGCAACAAGGTCAGAGCCACTGTGGCCCCCCTGCCCTCTGCCTCCTCCCACACCTCCTCCTCTTCCTCCCTGGGACCTCCTCCTGCGAAGGCCTCTCGTCGGGCCCTGACTCTCCTCAGCAGCAGCAGCGGTGGGGGGAACCCGGCCCCCTCTCGTCAGGAGGAAGACCATGATGATGAGTCCATGGTTATACAGTAAGAACACTGGGGGGGGGGGAGAACCTGCCACTTCAAAGGGCTTTGCAGTGAACTACGGTAATGCTTAGTCAGGACATTTTTGTAATCGGTCCCCATTGTAACGTTGGTGAGTCATCAGGCAGCTCCATAAGGGCTTTAATGACTTTAAAGGAGGGAAACACACACACTAATGTGTCTGTAAATACACACAGAACACACACACTGGTTTCCTCTGTATTTAATCTCACCACAAGAATAGCTAGATCTGATTTTAACCACCCTCCGTGCATGAGTGTGTGAGAAAGGAAAGTCTTTACATCGCTGAGGCAAGAAGAACTTCCAAAAATGAACAATGAACGAGGGAAGAAAAGATGAAAAGAGGGGAAACTGTAGGACAATGGAAGCCTGGAGGAGTCAGAAATATTGAGGCAATAACTAAATGTCCATATTTCATCACCCACTTACACACAGCTACTAAAGAAATCTAGAAAGAGGTTGCAAAATGATGCATAATACAGCCGCTATTGTAGAGACGGACTTATAGAAAAACACACATATGCACATTCCATTTCCATTTTGCCCTTAAGCCCCGGCCCGAACACAGCTTCAGTGTTTTAATGAGACAGAGAATAAAGCAGCAGACAGAGGGGCCTCTCTGCTCTCCGTCACCCCCACAGCGAGCTCCCTCTCTGGGGGTTGAAAGGCAGCGTGAGGGGGGTGGATGGAAGGAGCACAGACGAGAGATATTTTTTCTTTTTTTTGTAGTATGTTCTTTAGATTTGACATCATATGGTTTGAACATTTCCCATTGTGGGTGTGAGATTGTTAAAAGTATACAAGTCAAACATATTCACGATCATACGCACTTATTGGTGAGTCAGACACTCCCTACGTCACTATTATTAATTTATTCTTCGTCATGGCGCTTGGTCACACACTTAATCAGTGTCCCGCCATTCCACCCCCATGTTGAACCTTATAACACTCGAAACTACTACCAGCGGCGAATGACTTCCTGGCGTTGTGATGTCACAGGACTTCCTTATTCGCGGATTTACATCCACAACGACCCTTTTGTCTCCGGGGAGAATTTGACCGGACCTCCAAAGTTGCCCACTGACATTTTACCCACTTCTCTCTCCGTCCGTATTCAATACTTTCTTAATAATCACCACAAACTCAGAGACATCGAGTGTGTGAATTCCGTAGATGTGTTCAAATAGAGCCGCTCTGTCCGCCTAAAGGTCAAAAGGCCAAAGCCAAAGGACGACAGACTCCTCGTTAAATGTCAAACAAAAGTGTCCCTATCTGTGTTTGCAGATTAATTCTAATGTCTTGTTGTTGAGGACATTTTCAGGTCTTCAGGTTTTTTTTTGCCGTTCTAAGAAAGTTCTTTGTTCATTGTTGTCTTTACGCCTCCACCACACAAACAGCCCTATCTCATATTGTTGACTCATTGTTGTTCCCGTTCAGCTTTCATGTTGTGTGTTCTTTGAATTGAGCTGTTGTTTGTTCACTATGTAAGTTATTTAAGGATCTTGTATGTCCGACATATTTATTAAACTTCTCTCAGATTTGTATTTTAACATTGTGTATAAGTGTAGATTAATAAATTGTATTTATTTCCTCTACTGAAACAGCATTTTTGACTAAGACTCAGCTTCTATATCAGGATAATATGATTGCTGTGACTTCCTGCTTCATAATGTACCATTTCCTCCTCTGCAGAAGGAGAGAAAACTCTGTCAGACTCTCTATGTGTCTCCCAAACGAATACACTGTCTCTTTCCTGTGATTGTCCTCTCAACGACAGCACTGAGACGAACTCAGCAGGAACCCAAAAGAGTCACAATTCACACACAGGGAACAGGCAGAGAATAGTCGGCCAGAGTGAGAACAGAAAGAGGAAGTGCTTTTCGGTGAGGAAGTGAGGCGGTGAAGTGAGGAGGCACAGGAGCTGAACTGTAATGTCAGATCTCTGAAAGTCCTGCGACCCAGAAATTCTAGAAAATACTGGAAATCTCATTAGCTGATATGGATGCTCCAATCTAAAAAAGGCTCCAAAATATGTACACATGAACTCAGACTGGTCTAAGAAAACTTCTCCCTACTTTGCGCAAATAATTGAATCCCCTTAGTTTTGCATAGGCATCCCTTTAATTTAGAGGCAACGCAGCGACTATCTGAATGACGATCACTTCCTTCAGATAGCGCTGAGAACAGAGTGAATGAAACTCTCTTTCAGACACGCATGACTGGGATGGTTTGCCCACACGCAGCTAAAAATAAAAGCCGGTGGTCTGTAGAGCGGAGAGGAAACCGGGCAGTTTCAGGTGCGTCTGATGGCAGCCGCACCAAAACTCCTTAGTGTGCGCAACACAAAGAGCTCATGTTTCTATTTTTCACGTCCGCTGAACTTAAAAACAGAATGAGGAAATGCAGCTTAATTTCAGGGTGTTTTATACTCAGAAGTGCAGCTGACAGGTGTGAAATTTGGTCTGCATCTTGACATTTTAAGAACTACTTCACTTTTGAATATGTACTGTATTTCTCTAAATGCTGTGGCAGCTAACATCACTCCTCATTCTAAGGGTCGCAGTAGCAGACTAATCATAAAACAAAAATAGCTGCTGATGTCTTTAAGGTAACATCATTGAGAAGTTACGAGGAATCTTAGACTCATCAGTTAGTGAGATAACACTGGGTTTACATTACATCTGCATCGTTTTTATAAAGCATATTTTAGCGTTGGGTGGCTTGTTTCATTGGCCATAAGCGAAAATAAATGTAGACGTCATTTATGTTTAGATAAAGTGTGGACCGAGTGACGGAAAGAATACACAATGGTGAGGATGAACAGGCGACAGGAAGACAGTGCGAGACATGATGAAAGCAGCAGAACAGTGTGTGTGTGTGTGTGTGTGTGTGTGTGTGTGTGTGTGTGTGTGTGTGTGTGTGTGTGTGTGTGTGTGTGTGTGTGTGTGTGTGTGTGTGTGTGTTGTGTGTGACATCTGCATGCAGAAATGCGGAGACCTCAAACCTGCAGATATAACCGTCTGGCCAAATATAGCGTCATGTGGCTAGAAACAACACACACACACACACCTACACAGGCAAGTGGAGCTGCGTCTGTTGAATTGTATTAAGCGTAGATGTATGAAAGTGGTTCATCGGTTAATTCACACTTTTGTAATGCACTTGTGTGTCACGTCTGCAGCAACACATCTTGACATTTCGGCAAAAAGTGAGAAAAGTCACCGAAGTAGATGTGAAACCATGAAGTGCGATGTGCTTTCAAGATGAGGCGACAAACCTTGAGTATACAATCTCACGGGAATGCACACATGGTGATATGGTAGCGTCAGAGGAACGTCTGCAGACGCACAGTCCCCCCCCCCGACGCTCCGTACACTGAACAAAGTGGGCAGTAGCAGAGGGCTGTGTGTAGCCGTCACACACTCACCACCATCAGGAGGCCGTCGAGCTGCTCTGCAGATGTGTGAAAGGTCAGAGAAAACGAGGAAAGAAATGTGAGGAAAGGAAGGAAGGAACTAGATATTAACCACTTCCAGTTTGAAAGGCTGTACCAACTTATAGTCTTTAAAAGGAGGACTCAAGCAAAAAATCAAAGTCTTATCACAGTTAGAGCCGTAAAAAATACATTTGTGCAATATAATACTGTTGCATAAGCTTGTCACTTACCTTTACACACTTTATAGTGCTATATTTTCAATTGTTTTAGTGTCATGCCATCATATCTTACATGATCGTCATTTAATTTAATTTTATGTTTGTATGACTCGTGATTTTTTTGCAACTAGTGTTTGTTTTTTGGCTGACCGGACCTCGTCTAATATACTTGATTGTACTTGTGCAAACCTGCATGAGTTCCAATAAAGTCAAACGAAACTGACGTGAAAAAGAGATGAAAAACTAGTTTAAAAAACAATACAAATACTTATTGAATGGTTGAATGCTCCTTTCTATGAGCTGAATCACATTTGAGATAAAGCACATAACAGCTATTACAAAAATAAATATTCCACTCGGTTCTACAAACACTGTTCCACTTTAGGACCATAAAGTTGGGCAAAGTCCCGCTTCCCCGACTGTAAAAGAGTAAACAGCGCTTTGGATATTCCAATGAGGAAGTGTTGAGCCATATTAAAGAAGTAAATGTTGACAGCCTGTTCTGTGTGCCTCTTTATCCTATGAGTTCACACAGGGTTTAATGAGAAAGACAGAAGTTTGTCGTCGTTTCTGTTTTTCTTCCCCCGCTCTGTCTGAAAGAAAAGGGGAGGGGAGGGGGGGGGACGAGTCAGGAAATATAGCCTAGATGTGTAATCAAGATACTTTCTGTACAGGAAAGTCCTCCAGCAGCAGGTGGGTAAATAAAGAAAGGGGATAAAAAGGGATGATGGGATAAAGAGCAGCAGTGACGGGAACAGCCTGTACGTGTTATGCAAGACAAGCACACAGACAGGTTGATCCAGCCAGCATTCATCATGTCAGCATCTTTTCAAGTCTTTCTTTCTACTTCCTTAGTCATCCTCAGCCCAGGATAAACACCCTCTTTTTCCTTCCATCTTCCTATTTTTCCATCTTGTATTCCTGCCCTCCTCCGGTATCTCTCTGCAGTTGAAATGCACGGCGTGTCCGACACAAACCAGCCGCCATTAACTGTCACCAGAGCAACCCAACAACAGAAATAATGCAGAGAGACGGAGAAAAGGAAGGAAGAAAGAGAGAAAGTCTTTGCTCTAAAAGGCTCCACTTTTAACGGTCTGATTAAGTGGTTGGAAACTGAGCGGAGTAACAAAAACAGAGCGTGGCAGAGGGAGGGAGGTGAGGTCACACTGTCCCGCTTCAAAACAGAAAAACACCTTCAAAAGATCCGTCTGATCGGCTCCTGATGGGACACACTCCTAGTTTACAGATCACCTAATGACAAATATAAACGTTTTTGGAGCCATTTTTATTCATAGTTATATTTACAGACAGCACAGCTGTTTCTGACACATACACACTGACACATTGCCGGGGATTGTTAGCTTCATATTTCGTTTTTCTGTACATAGAAACATAAAGGTTTCAATAATATTGTGTTGTGCAGGAAGTCACCTCTGTAATTTAATGACGACCATGTGACCCACAGGACTTATTTATGACCCATTTATGTCTCACTTCCTTTAAAACAGTAGCAACAATGTTTTTTGTATTTAATGCATCCTCAGATGCAACGACACATATTAGTGTCCTCTGCTGCAGATGTTGTAAATCTCCCCGCTCATTGAGAAGATGGATCAGTCCAGAATACACAAACAGAAAAAGCCAGCTCCTTTTGTTAAAGCCTCAAAGATACTCCGGACCTAAGCAGTGCAAAAACATGTTTCCTAGTAACTTCATAAGCACGGTGGATATTTTATAAAAAAGGAGCCAAGCCGCTCTCTCAGCTTGTTAAAGTGAAGCCTGCAGGCCGGGCTCCTTCTGGCACATCCAGACGCTGTGTGTGCGATGTGTGTTATAGAAAAGTGGCAGCTTCCCACCACACTGTGGCTCGGTACTACAGTTATGGGTTTGACCATGCAAACACCCACTCGCTCTTTCTCAAACACTCAAACACACACACACACACACACACACACACACACACACACACACACACACACACACACACACACACACACACACACACACACACACACACACACACACACACACACACACACACACACACACACACACACACACACACACACACACACACACACACACACACACACACACACACACACACACACACAGGGTGGCCCTTCCATAGTCTCACTCCATGCAGCCATGATCTTATAGTTGTGCTTTGATCTACTTCCAATAAATCGACATAATGATGCCAGTCCACAGTTTGAAGAAATGTTACAAAAGCTGCAGGAATAAAGGCCACGACTGAGTGTTCTGCATTTGCACTTCTCCTCTTTTCACAAAGGGGATAAAGGTTTCGTCTGTTAGTCCTCGAGTCAGACGTCTCCCAGGTTGTCGTAGATGCATTCGGGTGATCTCAGCGAATCCCACGAGTCAGCAGGTGGAGGTTTCTTCTTTGACACTTTGCTGTACAGCTCGTGCCCTGTGTCCCCTCCCCCCCATAGATTGTTGTTGTTGTTTACATTATTGCCTCCATGTTTCCCGGGGGGCAGCGGCACCGGCTCCTTCTTCATCCTGCCGGGCTTCGGGCCGGTGAGGGGTTTGGGCCACCGCGGTGCGGGGGGTTGAGGCGTGCCGCGGCTCTGGGCCGACTGCGGGGGCGAGTGTTTGTGGGGGTCTATTGGCTTTGCATGCGAAGCAGTGCTGTAAGTTCCCTCCGGCCCTGAAGGGGCCGCCTCGTCCTTCCTCCTGTGGATGTGGGGCTCCAGACGGGCCTCGTCATAAATTGTCATCCCTGATTTACCGGTGGAGGCGCGGCCCTCTGGTTCGTCGTAGATGTGCTCCAGACGCGCAGCGGGAGGCGTTAAAGCTCCTTCTGCCTGACCTCCCGGGGTTCTCCTGTTACTGTTCCCCCCTTTGCCCCCCCCCGCGGCTCCGTTCAGACTCAGCGTGCCCGTCTTCTGGCTCAGCTCCTGGCTGATCCGGTCGTACACGTGCGAGTACAGGTCCGGCAGCTTCCTGCCTCCCAGGTGATGATCCCCTTGAACTCCCGGAGCGTCATCTCCTGCTGGTCGGAGGCGGGGGGGGGGCACAGGGTGGGTGCTGCTCTGGCTCTGAGCTTTGATGGTGTCCACGGGGTCGGAGTAGAGGCAGTCTCCGGCGTGCAGAGGCAGGCGCACGGAGTCTGCCGGCTCAGAGTAAAGAGCTGCGTGTTCATCAGCACCTTTCGCTGCCACCTGACCTCTTGGAGCCTTCGCAGGGGCCATTATGGCTGGAGGTTCTGGTAAACTCCTCCCCTTTAGTCCTGTTCCTTGCCCCCTCCCTCCTCCTCCCCCTCCATCTCCACCCTCTCTCTTCCCCAGCACTCCGTCAGCAGAGCCTGGTTTGCTGCCCCCTGAATCTCCGTCGGCCTCCCGGCTGCTGCAGCTGCTGCTGTCCCCACTTCCTGTTAGGCTGCTGGGGGGGGCGTTGCGTATGTGCTGCAGGGACGACGGGCATTCGGGGTCGAAGTTGAGGGGGCCGCTGAGGTGGCGCTCCTCGGCCTGGACCTTCTGCGACTGGATGGCCTGGTCCACCAGCGTGAAGATCTCGTTGCCCTGCTTGGTGTCAAAGGTGAAGTTCCCGGGGCCTGAGTCGCAGCGCCGGCCGGCCTCGAAGGAAAACATCACCTAGAGAGGGATAGCAAGGGGAAAATGTTTTAGTGTGAAAGTGAGCGTGACATATATATATATACACTGAGGCGTCTGAACAAAAGCCAGCTGAAGTAATGGAGCCAGTCACACAAGTCGCAGCTTTCCAGTCATCACTCATTTATCATTTTCCTGGCGCTCAGAGAAAGCCTGCTTCCTTCTCCCACTGAATTTCCACTTTTCTCAGCATATCAATTGTATTACTTCACTGCCTTCACTAACTGAGAAATTATGATTCAAACTTTCTTCCCCTTGTTTTCTTGCATACAGATTGGTCACAAAAGATCTACACATCCAATGTAGGTATCTATTTATTCTTCTGTGTGCATAACATCAAAGTTTCAGTCTCGGAAAATGCATGAAAACCATTTTTTCAGACAAACCTGACAGACCTTTAAAGGTCACCAGTCATTTTATGACCTGGGGACTCATTTATAAACGGTGCGTACGCTCAAAAGATGGCGTACGCCAGTTTCTACGCAATGTTTGCGATTTATAAAAAACAAACTTGACTGGAAAATGTGCGGTCCTCCGCACAAACTCTGACCCATGCGTACGCACTAAGCACAAAAACGGGAGAGACGAGAAACTGCGACACCGTTGGCAGAAGGAAGAATGGAGAGAAATATGTGGAAATAATACCATAAATAGAATGTTACCTCTCATTTATCAAATATGAAGAATTCATTTTCACAAATTGATTAAAGCCAATCTTAAAATGATTTAACAAACGCCTGTTTGAGACTCCTCAGTGCACACAAAAACATAACTTAATAAATAAATACGGAAATGTTATTGATCACCCCTCGATTATGTTCTCTTGTTAAGAAATGTTTTCTCATAAATGATGCGGTAAGCAGAAGGACAGAATTACTTTAAACTGACGCCGTTTAGCATTTCTATAGGTTGTATAGATACGAGCATGGTTTTATATACTATCACGTTTAATCGTGTTTTATCCCGTTTGCCAAGACTTGATAAGTCGCTCGTAAAACACAGGAGGTATGGAAACTAAGAACACCATATGTGGTAAATTGTACAGCTAATATAACACAACACATTAGTTGTATTTCCTTTAACTGGTGGATTATGGATATGCAGTTGCTGATCGACAGCTGGAACACAAACCACCAAATACAACAAAATAATTCAGATCCAGTCGTCATGACTCCACTCCGGAGGGATTACCCCATCATTTGTTACAGTTTCTCATCAAGGGGGTGTCTCCTGTCCCCGGGACAAACACACTGCCTGAGGTCTCGCCTGAGGAAGGTTATGTGTATTTCTTTTGTCATTAGCCTTTTTCGGACCACTTATTTATTTATTTTGGTGACGATCCGACCTCCATGCTGCTACTCTGGTTCAAACTGCATCCACCAAACAATATGATTTATCTCGACCTCCCCACAATAACCTAAATCTGACACGGTGTGAGATGTCTTTTTTTAGCTGTTCGGTCGTCATTTCCTGCGATCTTCTTCATGCAGTCAGTCAAAATGAATGAATGAATGGGCGTTTCTTTGACTATTTATAGGCAAATATGGGCGTTACGTGAAGCCCGCAAAAGCTGCGCCGCATTTCGAGTTGATTGTGATTTATAAAGGGAAACCGGCGTAGGATGTGCCGTACGTAAGTCCTGCGCTGGTATGCAGTCTTTTATGAATCGGAAAATGTCTGTGCGTATTTATTTGCTTTGTCCTACGGAAGCAACCTTCCCACGCCAATGCTACGCAAGGCTTTATAAATGAGGCCCCTGGTCTCTATATTTGAAGCATGTAACTGACACAAAAACAGCCACTGTAAAGCTGTAAATACCCTCTGTGACGGTAAGTCTCTGACCACACTGCAGCTAAAAGCATCATCTGCACTAACTACCATCAATTGCTTCAGTGTCACATATAACCCACCCGGTCTCGGCCGTATCTCCGCAGCAGCTTGTAGGGCCACACCAGAATGTCCCTCTTGGTCTTCGGCTCCTTTAAGATCAAGATGTCGTTCTCGGCCTTCAGCCAGTAGCTGCCCGTCAGCCCGCAGCGCTCTGACGCCTCGGTGCGCTGCACGCTCACCCAGAACTCGTTCACTGGAGATCAAAGGAGAGGTGTTTTTGCTCTGGTGTACTTTCATTCTCTTTTGTATGTCTAATGATTGTCTGTGATGCAATGCTATATTTTCATAAGAGGAGACACTACAGGTTTTTGACCAGTAGATTTCATCATAAAACTTCCCCACATCAAGTTATTTTTGTTTTAATAAAAGCTTTCTGAAATGTTATGTTTAAATATACAAATGAGTCATTATGCTACATTTGGGAATAGAAATAGGAATTATAGATTAATATTGTTAAAATTATGTTTTGTTTTTATGAATAAGCAGAACTATCTTAGCTTATGTTGGAATGATGTTGCTTATTATTATTAGTAGTAGTATGTGAATTTAACCATTGATATTCACTTTTCATTTGACAAAAACTTGAAAAACAATAAGTTGACAATTATGTTTTTTTTAATTTTATGTTGAAAAATGCAAATTATTGCATTATTTAATATTTTATGTTGGTTAATTTAGGAGAAATCCATAGTTTTTCTTTCCACTAGTCTGAAAAATGAAATGTAATTGAAACAAAATAACATAAATGATGTAACAGCACACAGTTGAGAGTCCTTACCCTCCTCTCTGGAGTAGTAGATGAGGTTTTCAGACATCTGCAGGTCGAGGCCCCCTCCGTTAGGGTCTGCAGCCGCACTGATGCTGCTGCTGCCGCCCTGCACACACACAGACACACAATCAGGACTTTCACAATATATGAATTAACTTGTTGTTTTGGGGAAATCTTTCCTGTACAATCACTGAAAGGAAAGGCAAAGCATGAGAGAAAATGAAAATAAAGAGTGAGTGTGCAGCAGAGAAGCGGATAAGGTCGTCCTCCTGGAAGCTTCCTCTGGCTTCCTCTCTGCAAATATGTCTAATGATCATGTGTGTGTATGCGTGTGTGACTGCACAAAATGGAAGCTGTAGCCTGTTTGGACACCCCAGGGGCTTGTGGGAAATGTTGGAAGACACACAAACAAGACGCTGCCAGTTGAATGGAAACTTTAAAACTGCGATTCCTCAGCTTTTCCCACCAAACTGAGGGAACTAGTTTTTCTTTATTTAAATATTTTTGGGCACACATTTCCCACATAAAGAAAGAAGAACATACCTTAAAGGCGATGTCACACATGGTGTCCATCCAGTCCTTGGCGGTGATCCTCTCGGCGGAGAACACGTGCGTCTTGTCGTTGGTCTCCACGCAGAAGGCCGACATGTTCTCTTTGGGACAGCTCTCCGTCAGCGCCGGCAGGATGGAGATGCACTCGGACAGGCGGATGATCTTCTTGTCGAGCTTCCTGGACTTCTCCGTGGACCCGCTCCCCGAGCCTCCGCCGCCCCCCGAGTCGTAGAACTCGAGGCGGGCGATGCCGTTCTGGCTGGCGGGGAACAGGACGAACCAGTTCTTCTTCCATTTCTGATGAGAGGGACAGTAGAGAATATTAAAGCTCCACTGATGATTTATTATAACTTTTTAAATAGCCCCGATTTCATTAAAGATCTCCTATCATGCTATTTTTAGGCATATATTATAGGTCTCAGATATATAAAAATATATAAATAACATGTCTATGATGTGTTTTGCTCAAAATACCAAACAAATCATGCCTTTTAGACATCCCTCATATCCCTCTGTTTCAGGCCTGTTACAGAACGGCTGATTCAGGGTCCTTAGCTTGAAAAAAAAAAAGAGAGGAGGGGGAGCTTGTGCCTGCTCAGAATTCTACCGCAGATACAGCTAAATGCTGCCGTGATTAAATGCCATATCATGTTCCAAACCACATCAAGGATTATTTCTGAAACAGTATGGAGCTCAAATATATTTTTTTTCCCCCATGCTTGCTAATGTAAACAAAGACCATATTACGTCCAAAACACGTCGCGCATTGTTTCTGATAGCGACGTTTCTGATAGGGCCGTGGGTGTAAAGCCAGCCCACATTTCAGATATTACGTCATATCGGCAGCAAATCTGGATCAGCTCCGTTGTACCCCCGTTTTTAGAGATGTGGGTACGGAGGAAAAGAGAGGGTTTAGTTTTCTGACGCTGCGTGAGTTCCCTGACACACCGGGGACACATATTTATGTATAAAAGACATCAAAAAGGGCATTTTGCATGATAGGAGACCTTTAAAACTTAGCGGAAGGATGCAGCATGGACCGAGGAAGAACCCATTAAAATATGGAGCAGATGGAAAAATGGAAAAGGCCTTGGCAGTTTTGTATGCATTTATGTCTATTATGTGTATAACAACAATAAGGAACACATGTTTTGTCCCCCTAGAGAGTAGTAGACCAGCATCTTACATCAAAAGGCTATTTATGAATGTTGGAAGGAAATAACAGGAAGAAGAAGAGGTTGGAAAACTAATTTCCCACTGTCCTGTTCATATCAGTCTAGGGATTTGCATGTGGTTTGTTTAGAAAGCTATGGGGAAAAGCAAAATGCAGAGTTCGCTAGACAATAATCAAAAACTGATGAAAAGGGAAATGGAGGAAATGTTACTGTTTGAAGTCCGCAGACGATGTGAGTCAAAATAATATTTTCACATTGTTGTGTTACTTCTACTTTACTGAGGCCTAAATTAGGAGGTCTGCTGATTAATATAAAGCAGTTTGACTCAGAACGGATGCACACATCATAGTTTCCTGTACAATCAGCAGCAGTGGTCCACAGCTACAGAATTACTGCTGTGGTGAAGTGAGTACAAATTGAGCTTATCACAAATAGAACTGAGAACCTAAGTTAAAATAATCTAGGGCAAAACATTTCCCAAGATTCAGGGTCTTTTTTGCTACCCTGCTGGGACCCAAACGAAGATGTGCACGCAAAAGAAGTAACAGCTCTGTGAGAAATGATAGGGAAGAGGTTCAAAATAAACCGGGTCCAAACTCTGTGACAGGTGCCTCTCTCCCTGAGGACAGCGGCGAGGAAGCAGCAGCTAACAATGACCTCTTCCTCCCCAGGGACAGAAAGGGACATGACACACAATGCTGAAGAACAAGATGCACAGCCAGTGTGCAGCACTCCAGATGTTCAGTGCTAACAATGGACGTGATGACAGACTGCAAACACTACAGAAGTTACTCTACATGTGATTATAACCAAACTGAGTGAGACAGCAGAATTAAAAAGCGTGTTTGGGAAGTCCCTGTAGTCCCCTGTTAACACTCTGGAAGATCATGACATTTGTTCACGGTGTGTGTTTTCCCCTGACTTCCACTCAGTGTAGGAATCTGCCTGACAGAGCAGAGCATGTGACAGGAAGGTCAGAAACCCCTTTGACCTGCGGGGAAAATCCTGTTAACTAGAATGGGACCTTTTAAGAGATGCCGGGAACCAGGTCAATAAGCAGGGGAATTGCTATAAAAAGACAATTATTACAAAAAAAAGCTTTACTGAAACAAAAAGGGCAAAAATGGAACCTGGGAGGTCCAATAAAAACATTTAACTAAAGCAAAAGTACACAGATAGAAACTGAAGCCTCACAGCAGCTCAATAATGAAAATAAATGTGTATTCAAATATCTATGTTTCCATTATTTTCAATACCATCTGATTCCAGTCTTTACATTGAGAGTATTCCCTGCTTTTCTTTGTCATATATCTTAAAGTCAACATTTGGGGACTTTTTACAAACAAAGGACATTTGAAGATGTCTTTATAATAGAAAATCGTAGGTCAAGCACTTTTTGTATGTTAAATTCTCATCTGCAGAGTAACTAGTGCCTATGAGTAGTAGAAGTATACAGTAGCAAGTCATAGAAACACACACAAAATAAGTCATCAGTAGATATACATATTTACTTTCAACAATCGGGTTACTGTGCGACGTCTTAAAACACGTCAGCTTGTTTGTTATGATTCACAGCGTTAAATTAGGCATGGCACGTCAGTCTTGACTTATATTATTTGCATGACTTATGCTTCACAATCGAGTACGTTTAACTGGTTGCAATTTAACAATGAGCACAAACAAGATGGGACTCAGTTGAAGAAGTGTACACACACATAAAAGCCAACTTCATCAATGTTTTACTCAGACACACACACAGTTTCATAAGTGAACGCACTATGAGCCGATAAAACTAACTGCCAGAAAGGACAGGAAATGTGTGGGACTGTCATTACCCAGGATTCTCTTCACTTCCTTCTTCTGCATCCAGGTGTGTGTGTGTGTGTGTTAATATGTGCATATGTGTGCATTGTTGTTCCCTTGGTGCATTCCCGACCATCTGTTGCTGTACACAAACGTGTGATTGTGCAGTTGTATACACAAATAGGGTGTGAAACATTAACTTGGAGGTGTGTGTGTGCATGTGAAGCAGCTGCTCCATATAAGGCAACCGACCGTTATCAGCCGCTAATACACCGAGTGGAAAATATGCAAAAAAGGATCCTGACAGAGAGATACTTCCTCACTGACGTCCTGCCTGCTCACAAGAACAGAACTGTGTGTGTGTGTGTATGTGTGTGTGTGTGTGTGTGTGTGTGTATGTGTGTGTGTGTGTGTGTGTGTGTGTGTGTGTGTGTGTGTGTTTCTCGCAGAGCCCAAAAAAGACATAGCCTTCTCTGTAATAACAGCCGATGTGTTAGTAATCGCGTTGACATTACTAAGAAAGGCCACACTTTCACTGTATAGCTAAAAAAAGTATAAACACTTCTTTAGATGTGTAAATGGCATGCATTTTTGTAAGGGAGTGCATATTTTCAGCTCATATTTGTAATAAACGTGCCAAAAGCAGATAAAAAAATGTCCACGCTAAAAACACATTTTGTGATCCTACTGCCATTTTAGGTGTAAATGTATGAATTCTATTATATCAAACATTCAATTTAGAGCTCTGTCTTGAAAAATTGTAGATTGAGGCATTTTCAGAAACATGCAACACATTTATTGTTATAGCTAACCATTGCCATATCCCATGATGTAGAAAAAGAAATCCTGCTAGCATTCATTCAGTATACAGAAGAAAATGTATGATTTTTTGGTAATTATGATAATCAATGATGTATGTTAAAACAATAAACTCAGGGAAGTGGAAAATCATTTTCATGTATACTATTTTATTCCAGTTTTGGATGCAGGGGATCAGAGCTGTGTTTACCAGTGAAGTTGAGTGGTGATTTCTTTTTCCAGCACGTGAAATGTTACTGTAACAAATAGGGGATAGTATTCCAGAATGTGTGTGTGTGTGTGTGTGTGTGTGTGTGTGTGTGTGTGTGTGTGTGTGTGTGTGTGTGTGTGTGTGTGTGTGTGTGTGTGTGTGTGTGTGTGTGTGTGTGTGTGTGTGTGTGTGTGTGTGTGTGTGTGTGTGTGTGTGTTTGTGTGTTTGCATGCAGACCGAGTCACTGTGGGACGGGTGGAAACATTTTTCCACAACTGTCCCGTCAGACAGGATGCTCTCTATCTGTCATGCTGTTTAGCTAAAACACTGGACCGTGTTCCCACTGGCCACAGACAGACCTCAATGACACACACAGGAGTGTGTGTGTGTGTGTGTGTGTGTGTGTGTGTGTGTGTGTGTGTGTGTGTGTGTGTGTGTGTGTGTGTGTGTGTGTGTGTGTGTGTGTGTTGTGTGTGTAATTTATATGTATGAGTGACAAGAAGTGTGTTAAGAGAGAGAGGCAGACCGCTGCTCTGACCACAGTCCTCTGCTATGTCTACAAAATAAATCTCTCACATGTCAGGACTGAGTTTGGTTGGTTTGGATTTACTATTGTAGTTTGTGTCTACCTGAAACCGTATTATCAATACTGAAAGAATTGAGCACAACGAAAACATGACGAGTGAAGTAAAAATACATCTAAATGTTTTCTATAAGTAGTATACGTTTTAATTTGTTTCTAACGTATAAATACATTTTCTTTTTTAAATACATGTATATATTTTTCAATTTTGTATTTATCCTATTTCTTACTATGGGATTATGTTAACAAAATGATGTTATCAAATAAAAATGTATAAATATATATATAGATAAAATATCTATTTATGTATTTGATTTTGTATTTATTTATTGGTTTGGGATCCTCAAAAGTGAAGTTGTTCTTGTTTTTTTAATTGTATCACTTGTTTGTCTTCCTTAAGGCTAAAACCATAGAGAAACTTCTATGTGTTCTAATGTGCACATGCCGTATCCTGGTCTGCAGCACGTAAAAAGCTATTTCTGGAGCAGACAAATATTCCAAGAGAGATAATGAAGTCCAGAAGTAGGTCAGACAAGTGACAGCATGCTTACAGCAGCACAATGAAATGTGATCAAGAACCAAAATCAACTTTTTCAGAATAGAAAGGAAAAAAAAGTATACATTGCCGTAGTCAAAACCAATACTATTAATTAATATAGTACAATTAATATATTAAAAGCGTTTTTTTAACAAACTGTACAGCGTTTACCTAATGTCAGAGAATGATTTAGTGTAATGGAGGAAGTTAATCTAACATGAATAAGCATTTTTTATGTCATAGCGTCACAGAAACGGCTAATGCTAGCATGATCAACCCGGACAAAAACAGCCGGATATATTTAGATGGTGATAATCGTTGTAATTTACTTGATTGAAAAAACAGAAAGACTGATAAATTCAGCTTTAATTTTTGAATAATATGCCCAAAACGTTGACTTTACAAAAACAGGAAATGATGAGCAGATTGATCGGTGAAAACATTTAAATGGTCAATTATCCGTTCATCATGCAGTATGCTCATGGTAGGCTTGTTTTTAACGTGTACTTTTAGTCTTATTCATTCAGGCCACAGCTACAATTTTGTCCAAACAAATGCCCTATAAATAGGAGATGTTAATGTAACAAAAGTAATATGCAAAGTTACGTTGATTCATATTGACAAGCAATAGGGAAAGAACCTAAATGAACTGTGACTCAGGAAAGAATACTACAAAAACTATTACATGCACTGAGCAATAACTAATCATTGTTTCTGCTTAATCACTTCTTTCCATTTAGCTTCACAACATCATGCCGTTGTTCCTGAAAATACGCCCACTGCAGAGTATATATGGAGAATTACACACTTTTCATACGTCAAGTAAGTTATTCATACTACAAAAGATTGGGCGTTTCTTTTCTGAGAAATATGATTTAACGTAGAAATCAGACAAATCCCATTAATCCATTAGGCAGTGATTACTTTTGACAGTCGTATAAGTCTAGCCTCGGGGTGTTTAATTCTGTTTCACCCTGACACACCCCGTCTGTTCAAGTGTCTGCCTGCTCCTGGATGAATCTGTCTGTCATCTGCCCTCATCTGCACACTTTACCGGTACTTCTTGGCAAACAGCTGCGAAAATCACCGTGAAACTAAAAGATTTGGTAGCTCCAGGGTGCGACACAACTACAAACTACAGATCCAATCACACACAACTCTACCTTCAAATCGCTCTGCGGTCAGTTTAAGCTGCACATTAAAAACACATGACAGCTCTACAAGTGTAAAAGCTGTAATTACAACAGCATGAAGTTTAGGACGGACCTATTGTAGTGTAACCACACTGACTGCATGCATACAGCCAGACAGTTCAGACAGCAGCTCCACGTCACCACACATCTCTGGCATGCTTTGGATGTTATGAATACCTTTCTGATGCAGTGTGCGTCGAACACAGATCTATTTGTTTCTAAGTGTCATGCTGTGGTGTTCGAGAGCAGTCCAGAAGTGATTTGATATAAAGTTCAGTTTATTCATCTCGTGGAGTTCTACCTAAGATCATTTATCTTACTTCTCTGGAGGGGCTTTCTTTTTTTTCTTTTTTAAATCTGATGATGCTGTCATTACACATAAATGTCTCATCAATGTTTATGACATCACAACTTCATGGAAATGCAATACTTAACTAATTGCTAGATTAAACCGGGAAGTTTAAATAAAAGCATGACTACATCAATTAATAAGTCATTTTTTACTATGTTAGTATGCCAAGAATAGTTAATGACTAATAGCAGAATTCTTATGAATGTTGTTGTGCGGGGGGCCAAAAGGTGAAAGACATCTGTTTATTTTCACTAGAAATCATAAATATAAACACAAGAATTTTGTTTTATCTGATGAAATAAAATAACTAAGGCTTATTTCTTTCAAATTCTGTGTACGAATGTGTTAAAATCTGTGGTATTGAGCACTTGATAACCCATTTAGCTGACAGGTGTAGCATATTGCTAATCAACACATGATTAATCAGGTGTGAATTGAGCAGGAACAATACAAGGACAATTAAAGGGGCAATATTAGATCATCTTGGTACTTAACAACACAGAGTTGGTTCACAACATGTGAAAGAAATTATAAACCATGTGTGCATTGAAAAAAGTCTTATTTTTTCAAATCCTAACATTTGTGAGCAAAATCCAAAGTGTTTAAAAGGAGTTTCTATTGATATGAGAGTGAGAATAGCAGAAGTTGTATAGCTTGAACTTGTACATAATAATCTATTGTCAAGCCAGTTCAGCTGGATACGCAGAGCTAAACAAAAACTGAGATAATCTGATGAGTCATATTCAAAAGGTCCAGACCTAAATTTGGCCCAGAGAGGGAATTGGTTAAGCCGCAGTATAGCGATAAAAACAACAACACAGGGCATGAAACACCAGATATAAAGCCACAAATACATAACCACACATTTGAAAAAAAAATAAAAGTACTGAGACTTAAAAGGTGAACACAGGTTCAAGTACACAAGTTAAAATGTAATATATCATTTGGGAATATTTCAAATCAATTCTGTTTATTTATTTTGTTACTTTTTTCTCGAATACTGTTAACAGGATTGGATATAGACAGAAGATACTAAAATCACAAGTATATGAAGTGTAAGCCTGCTTTCTAAGCTCTATAACAGAAACCTGGGTCAGACGTTGCTGCTGCACTGTAAGTCACATTTTCCGACTAACCACATGGGAACGAGCCTATATGAGTGTGTGTGCGTGGGTGTGTGTCCACTGACAGCTCGAAAGATTGCATAATTCTACAGTAAACCTCAAACCAGTTTCAACACTTTCAGATCTGCCAGCTTCCTCTACTATTCTTTTTACTGGGCTGCTGTTATATCCACTTCTGTTTTACTGTGAAAAGATAACGTGTTATTTATGAAAATATTGAGAGTTGGTTTGTCCGTTTTCTATTGTATTCTCTACAGTTTATAGAAGGCATTGAAAGTGTGTTTTGGGAGTGTGAATATGTATTGTGGATTGGTGGGTTCAGGGCAGGAAACAGGGCCAGGAGGTTTTGTTGATGGATGTCATATGACCAGAGAGAGAGGCGGAGAGACAAAGACCCTCTTACAAATCTGAAGAGTAAATGAGTTCTTATCTAGCTGCGCACCCAAGGCAAGGTTGCACGGAGGCCATGGAGTGACACAAACACACAGACACACCCACAGGTGTTATCTCCTGGTCCACTGCTGCTGTGTGATCAGAAAGTAAGTGACTACATACAGTCAGAGGTGATAGCTACTAAAGTGTTTGTAATTGGTGTGAAGAACAACTCTAAAGACCAAGTGGAAATATGTCTGCCATACGTCTGTTTCTCTCCATTGTCTCAGCTTTCCGACTCAATATTCCGTGTTGTGTTGTATGTGTTTATTGTGGAAAGTCATAATGCATTTTTACTTAATTTTAAATGCATGCAGATTACAATTCAAAACATATATAGACTAAATAGTCCCCAGTTATTTTCTTTTCTGTCAACCGATATGATCAAAGAGATAGTCTAAGCCTTCTCTACTAATACAAATGCGTTTTAACTGCATTTACACATTGTTTGTATATTTGTATTATGCAAGTTATTGTACAAATGTCACATTTCATCACGTTTCATTTTATCATTGTTTTCGGCTTTTTATTTACTTATTTATTATATAAACTTATTAGGGAAATTGAACATGTGCCGGAATCCCTATATCATGTATGCCTATGTTGTTTCTCTGGACACATGACTGTACTGCACTTTGTAAAATAAAATAAGTAGTAAAAAGCAACTTTAATAAGTTGATGTGTCACCAGCTCTCCAACCCATCTCTTCCCTCTCTCTGACCTCATTCACTTTGCTTTAGCCCACTGTGGCTCCATGTATCTTCCTATCTACTGAATGTTACTACAGTGCATTCCAGCTCATTAACACACTCACATGCACACACAGATGCACAGCTGGTTTACTGCAGACCACCACATCAAAACAAGACCAGATCAGTGGACCCTGCTGTAGCTTCCTCTCTGCATACAGTCAGTTTGAAGAAGCTGGGCACAATGACTGTAATTGCAGCAATATGTGCTCCATTAGTGACGACAACTAGGAAATGCTCAAAGTTGATACACTGAAAAGACAGTACTTCTGCTATGCTGAATTGCAGGATTTATATTTCTCATAAACACATGGTAACTCTATGATTCATATAATGTTCCAATAAAGAATTAATTCATTACATAATCGTTATTCAACATGTTACTATTTAATTTCTATAAAGGACAACAACAGTGTCCTTAAAGTACACACTTGCTGTTTCCTTTCCTTGTCTATGATTTTTCTATAACGTCCAAATAGAAAAAGATAGTTTTATTGGCCTTAGGATATTATACAATAGTTTATTTCTTCATATAATAACGGTGTATTACATTCCTATTACTTGCTACGTAGTTTTTGTTGTATGGCATCCTTTATGTACAATGAGGTCACTGCCTACAGTTATATGTCCTCATTTCGGTTAAGCAGAGTAACAGTTTCTTTATAACTTACCTTGCCAAATTTTTGATGCTGCACATAAAGTTGTCCCTCCTTAACGTGGGTGTCCATGCCCCCCAAACTCTCCAGGGCCACCCTTCCTCTAAAAAGACGAGATTTGAGTTGAACTTGACTGGACGAAAATCACTTTTTAGAGGTTTCTTTTCCCCTTAACAACTTCCCTCCTCCTTTCACTTCCGCTCCCCAGCCGTTATAACGCATGTATCATACCGCTCTCGCACAGTTAAAGGTGTCATGGTTAAAATTAAAATAAAAGCCCAAACAGTGGCTGGGTGGTCCGACAAAAGTTAAATAGTGTCCAAATGTTGTCGGTGGGTCGCCTATCTGTCGCCTCTCACTCCTCCTGCTGGGCTGGACCACTGCAAAGCCACTCTGCATAGATAAGGTAAAGCTTCCGGTTATAACTTTCAGAATAAAGGTCTGATTAATGAATAGATTTAGGGGAATTCTGGCAAAGTTCAGCATTTAATGTGGTCTAGGCTTTCAGGCAATGTCAATACAAGACAGGTAACCTTAAGACTCATGGCATTTCAATTCATCTCCTTCAAGTGGGCAAAAATTGTATATTCTATTGGATCCTCAAGAATATTACGAGATTGTATGCTTCATTTGGTGCAATCTGTGTTTTTTGTAAAAGCCACACATCTGTAGTAAAACACTACAGATGTGCATCATCAGGCACAAAACTGGTGCCTGATGATGTGAGGAGCTGAACCTCTATCTCCATTTTCAAAACCAATTTAAAATATCTGTCAAAAACTGCCCTACTTTGTACGCCACTTCAAAAATAATCTGGTAATCTCAAAAATGTACTTTTAATACCATAATAACTCTGATGTGTGCACTGAACTAATTAGAGGCAATGCAGTTATGCAGTTAACAGTACACATAGGCCTACTAACAGGACAACTGGTATGACCATTGGAAGTATCAGTGTTGTTTATTAAACATTATTATTTAGACAAGAGTTTAATCCAGGAAAGTTTGAGACATTTTTCATCATTTGTTGTGATTGTTTTGGGCTTTACAAAGTTCTGACGTGTTTTTATTTTGAAATCTGAATGAGCAGACATCCGGTAGTGACTCTGTGGAGCTTCACTTGGCCGTCTGAGGGGCAGTGATCAGCGCGTGCAGAGCGCACCGAGCCGCTCCTCGAGTCCCACCTCCTCACTCTTGTGTAACTTCTCTATCGGTTTCAGCTTTAACGCAGGCACTTTCTAACGCACATGCAATCTATATAATAATAATAATTACACTGTATACTTCATGTGATAACATTATGTTTGGCTAACTAACTGCAGGACATCACAGCAGGACTATACAACATCTCATAGAAGAGTTATTATTCCTTGTAGGCCTACGAGCAAACATCATAAAGAAAGATCAGATTTCTCATTATTAGTACTAACTTCAACTACAGAGATATTAAAATAATGTTGAGCAGCCAAGGAATGATAATAGCAGTCTATGTTGGCAAAGAGAAGCTGGCCCCAGAGTTAATGTGTTGCAGATGCCTCCTGCTGGCTCACTCAGAGCTGTTGTCCCTGTTTCAGATCATAACAAATGCTGCTAAATCCCTGACACTGACTGAATATAGGGTTTTAGACTTCATTTAGACCTATGTATTGAGGGACCAGGTGCACGTCCAGGCAAAAATACTCAGGTGCAAGAAAAACAATTCTAATTTGGAGCCAGAGCACAAAGGAGGCCTGCACACTGCCAGGCTCTTGAATAATGTATTTCTCTTTTTGATGCAACAATCTGCTCAGGCTTGGGTGAAAGAGAAAAACAGGCATTTCTCTTTGAGGCAGTAATCAACTCAAATCACTCTCACCTGTTGGTCTGCAATCAGCGGGGGAAAAAACACCACAAGACTTCAATCAAAGAACTCCAGAAAATAGAAACCCACACAAATAGAAATATGGTTACTTGCAATACAACAGCATTGTAAAAGCATGCAGCAAGCACACGAAGAATATATAATTTAATATACATTATAGTTATGTGTTCCCACAATTTATGAAATGATTAAAACATTAGGCTATATGTCATCAGTTGTAAGTGGTTTTATTTGATGCTTAATAGTGTTTACTATCTTAAATGAATTGAAGTTATACTTATGATATAAATACAATTGATACTATGGAGTTAGTATTGTGAAGAAAGAGCACAGCTGCCGCCTATTGGTCATTTATCAGTATTGCAGGTTGAAGTTCAGTTGCAACTCCCGCGATATTTGTGCACTTTGACTGAACCAAAACAGGAAGTGAGACATGGCATCAGTGTTCGGCGGAGTAGAGGGGTGAGAATAAGTTAAAATATAAAACTAAACTTTACAATTTCATATATTATGAATTATAAGTTAAGGCTAATATGAATTGTAGGCTTTTACTCGTTTTTTCGTGGTTGCCACTGAGAAATTCGCGGTACCAGCCGATATTGAAAGAGTTTCATTATGACCACAGACTAGTTATCTGACTTCTTGTGCGCGAGCATCTGTCTCGTGACCCCTTTCTCTCGCTTAAGTTACCTGTGGGGTACTGTCCGTTTACATACGAATATGAGATAGTTGTAAAGCTTTTTATGTCCCTTCTGCCTCGGCTATGAGTTTATAAGGGACTAATGACTAATACTTTAGTTTTTAGCTTGTGTTTATGTGTTTCAGTTTCGTTTATCCCCTCTGTTCTCTGTGTGTGTACTCAGTGGAGGGACTCACTCCAAGGTGGTGCTGCTGTCAGCAGATGGAAAGATCCTGGCAGAGACAGAGGGACCATCCACCAACCACTGGGTGAGGAAAACATTTATTTATGGAGGAATTTGGATTATGTGCTTGCCTTTTTTGCAGTGATTTAATGTCACTAAGTGCATTCAAGTACCTTGAGTACAAATTCGAAGTACTTGTACTCTACTTGAATAGTTTCCATTTTATGCAACTTTATATTTCTACTACACTACATCTCAGATTTAAATATTGTACTTTATATTCGACATGTTTCTTACAAACAATAATGCTATCAGTCATTGTGCTCTTTGTGTTCATATGTTTTGTATACAGTTGGTTGGGGTTGACAAATGTATCGACACCATCAACGACATGGTGCAGAAAGCCAAGATGGAGGCAGGGCTGGATCCAAACACGCCACTATGCCTATTGGTAAGTCGAAGATACAATGTTGTGGGATAGTATTTCATTAAGAAATAAGTGGCATTTCAAACTGTGATTTATTTGTGTGTGCAGGGCATGTCTCTGAGTGGGGGAGAGCAGAAATCAGCCATCGACAAACTGATCGCTGAAATGAAGCAGCGGTTCCCCGCTCTCAGCCAGCACTACTTCATCACCACAGATGCTATTGGTGCCATGGCAACTGCCAGTGATCACGGTAACTAGTGTTTTTTTGCAATGAATCCCCACAAAGCACAACACTTTAACCAAGCAATGCTGGAGAAAGGCGTTAAGGACTAGCCTGAATTTACACTGAACCAATCTAAATCGCCTATATGCAGTGATGGTATTTGTAATGTTACTTGGAAATAACTAAGTACTAACACCATAATAAATAAAAAAAACTCAGTTTCAAGAACTTCATTAATACCCAAGGAAATATTTGTGCGATAGACACTCACGAATTACAACATTACCATCTTCATTAACCTTTAAAAGTCATTTTCAAGTATGGCCTAAGAAGTCATATAACAGGGCATGGCTTCATACTTTACACTCGGGTGTAAAGGGATATAATTTCATAAGTCTCTCCACATTTATGGCTTAATGAGATCAATGCAGTCATCCTTATTGTTGTCATATAATGACATCAGCTCACTGTGTCGGTTTTCTCTGCAGGAGGTGTGGTGTTGATATCAGGGACCGGCTCTAACTGTAAGCTGGTTCACCCTGACGGCTCACAGGTCGGCTGTGGAGGCTGGGGTCACATGATGGGGGATGAAGGAGGAGGTAACCATGGAGATATGTAATATATTTGAATAATGTATGGCTTTACTGATTGATAGAAACTCACAGCTCTGTTTCTCAGCCTTCTGGATCTCTCACTTGGCGGTGAAGACGGTGTTTGATGCCAAAGACAACCTGGTGGCTCCTCCTCATGACGTCACACATGTCAGAAAGGCCATGTACGAGTACTTCCAGGTCAGATTGCCACAACAGCAAGAAATGTGTTTATGTACAATAATACCAGCTCAGGGTAATAGAAACAGTATGTTTTACCTCTCATATTTGTCTACTAGCATTGACAAAGGAGTCTGTGTCCTAGTTTAGAAGGTTTACTTGCATTAAAAAAATAAATGTATTAAATGTACTGTCCTGATGCAGGTGTCAGATCTGATAGGCATGCTGCCGCACCTCTACACAAACTTCCAGAAGTCCCATTTTGCAGGTTTTTGCAAGAAGCTCGCTGAAGGTAGGCTGTGCATCACTTCCTGTTTGGTTCTTTTAAGAGCAAACATTTAAGTTTTGATTGGAAGGTGAACTGAAACGTTTTGTGTTTCAGGAGCAAAAGCAGGGGATGCTCTCTGTCAGCATGTGTTCACTCAGGCTGGGAGAGTCCTGGCAAAACATGTAGAAGCAGTCCTACCTGCAGCAAAAGAGGTAACAAATAACCAAAGTTACAGTATTTTCACCTATTTTCAATTTAGTTTTGACTTTTTAAATGTAATCTAGTTCAGTTCGTTTTTCACAGTGTTTTATTTAAATGTTTTTTGGTTCTCAGATAGGTGTTTGTATTGGTTTTACAGTAGTTTTAAGTTTCCTTTTCCAGGTAAATTGTCTCAGAAGTGTGAAGTGTCATTTATACATGAAGTTCATGGTTTGAGAGCTGTGTTAGATTTGTGAATCAGCGTGACTCATCTTTCACTCAGAATAAAACTTTCACCAGCATTATTATCCCACACACACCACACACATACTCATATTCACATTTGAATTTCTTGTGATTTCTTTGTCTCTCTGTGATCGAAGCCTCTATTGAATGGTGACCTAGGCCTGCCTATCCTGTGTGTGGGCTCAGTGTGGAAGAGCTGGGAGCTTCTGAAGCCAGGTCAGTGTCACAAATCAAGACAATTAGGTCCTTCATTAAACATCATTTGCATCATCTGCAAAGAATCCCAGCCATTTTCAGTTACCCCTCTGTTTCTGTATTTCTCTCTCTAAGGGTTCACCGAGGTCTTGGATAAAGTGGCATCATCTGACAAGTTCAAGGGCCGTTTCCATGGCTACAGCCTCCTGTCCCTGCAGCAGTCCTCGGCCCTCGGCGGAGCGAGTCTGGGGGCTCAGGGTATCGGCGCAGCTTTAACTTTGGACTACAAAGCTAACGCCAAAGTCTTCTACCAACACACTTTCAACAGCAGCCAATGATAGTGCCGCTGCACATCCTGGAGCTCTTAACCAATCAGAGTTCAGATAAAGGGAGATTGCATTATTAGCATCATGCTAAAGTGATGATGATAATAATTATTCTGTAATAATGATATTGCCTTTGATCTTTTACTACAAGATACAAAGAAGTTTGATGAAATTATTCAAAATCTTTGCTTTTACTGCTGCATAGTACCTATTTGGACCATTTAATTGATATTCCTTTTTTTGTTTTATTGAAATTGTAAATCTTTGCACCTTTACAACAGTTGTTTACATTTGAAATTTATAATAAAAAACGAATTCAGATTTGCAAATAATCTCTTATCCACTAAAGTAATTGAAGTTCTAAACTGTGATCCGAAATACCTGTTGGTGTTTATAAACAAATCCTGAATACAGTTTATATTTACTTTGTATTTTTAATACTTTTACTGAGATAATACTTAATGCATCTAAAAGGTCATATATTCTTTATAATATTTTAAAGTGGGATCTACATTTTTGGACATGGGGAAATCTCGTGTTCATTTGTTTTCCAAAAATCTTAAATTATTTAATATTTATTAATCTAGTTTTATTCTATTAACCAAACCATTGAATTGGATCTGCCATGCGTAATTGTGACTTTACAAGGATTCACATCACATCCTAAAGGGACTGCGGATAGACTTGGAGGTACAGTATGTGGCTAGCAACAGTCAAAGTAGCAGTATTTGTTGTGTTGCCAGTCATTTGAATATATACAATTCAATTGAAAACAGCAGCAGCAACATTCCACTGGCTGTGTCTCTCACAGAGTTCAGTTCAGCTTCACGGCTGTTGGTGGTGCGCTGAGATTACTCTACCACAGAGAAATCTAAAGACCTGCAGATGCTTCCCTATAACCAGTTTAAGGTAAATATTATGAGATTCAAGCACTTCTCATCTTTTGAGTTAAATTATGCAATACAATGCCTTCTTATTGTGTTTCTCTTGGTTTGTTTTGAATTGAAATGAGGTTAAAAGTAGACTCCTGCTGCTACAGTCTTACCAATATACACAGATGATGATACAGTTGTTAAATATTGCCTCTAACTTAATTATTAGCAGTTTTGAACTAATGTTGTATAACAGGTTAATTTTAAACCTGCGTTAAGGCTATCTGACATTTGGCCACTTGAGGGCAGCAGAAATAAACTGTTATTTTAATCCCGCTACTTCAAGTATATTTAGCTAATAATACTTTGTAAATTGTTATACATGGAAGACTAAAGCTTCTAAATCTGTTTATGTACAATTCTGTTATTTTGCATAATTATTTGTTTCTAAATTGACCCCCACATTTAGTTGAAGCTTTTATTTATTCCGTTACTTCTCTATCAGTTATTGAGTAATTTATTTGTTATCATACTAGCAGCTTAAGTAGTTGTATTGCAGAATTAACTTAAATAAAGGATCTGATGAGAAAGGCTCTACATAATTAAACCAGTGTAACTGATACCGTGTTAATCCTGTCTTTGTGCTGACCCACAGTACTTAATATGACCCCCCGTCACAATACATGTGTTCCCCTTCCAGACAGTGGGGATGATGCCCTGGGAGAGATATGTCACTACTTACAACAGAGACTTTCCGCCCTTCAGTGAGCGTCGGCCGCAGGTCAACCAGCCGAAGTCGAGGACTGAAGCTCAGGCTGCTACTTCATTCATCAGCCCACCTCAGGTTGGAGAGACACACAGAACAAGAAAGATTTATTCAATTTCAGACTGACTCACTGACATGATGTGATTGTGTATTCACAGACCGAACGTGAAACCTGGCCTATATTTCACCATAACTTTTACAAGACGTCTAACAGCGCCTACGGCTCAGGTTTACAGGTGAGCCACAACAACACACACATGCACACATCTCATCTTCTGTTACCAGGACGACCCTCACACTTCCTGTTTTCTTTCTTTCAGCCTCCCTCTTATTCTCTCTTCCCTGCTTCCTTGCATCCTTTTGGATCTATACTTGGCGAGGAGGCGAAAAGTCGATTGAACTGTGTTTTTGATCCAAAAGGTAAGGAGTGCTCTCTTAAACACACCCATACACACACTCACAAATACTGTACACACATCTCTGAGCTATCCGGTCATTTTCTTTTGACAGTAAATGTGTTGGAGCAGCAGGAAGCAAGAGATGAGCCGCAGCAGAAGCTTGATGTTCTCTATGAGGAAGGTAACACATCTCCTTTTTTACTTTTAGGGAGCTTTGATTGATTCATCTTGTCATTTTAGCCTTATATTATTTCAAGATACATTAAACTATAGGCTAGGTGGCACTTGGAGTCCCGGAGAGATTATTAAACATGTCTTCTGGGTACAGGCTCATGCGTAAACCCACCGCAGACAAATAAAATAACTACAAAAGGACGAAAACAATTCCAAAATGACACTAAAAGAGGCTAAGCAAGACTTTTAAGTATCTGTGTCTTGCTCTTATGTAGGACGGTGATTGGGCCCACTGTCTCACAATCTTCCCATGATTTGAGTAAAGAACCACACACCATTTCCATTATCCCGCCTCTATATTTTGGCACCTTTAGGTGTGATTGTGTTGTTATCTCGTGTGGATCCGTCCTGCTGTGAAGACCTCCTCAGATCTGTCTGCAGTGAAGGCGAGTTGAATAACCTGCTCCACCTCCCCGAGGCCTCCCGTCCAATTATCACCATGAAAGGTAGAAAGAAAAAAAAAACACACACACAGCTATTCTCTACTGCATTTATGTAAAAGACAACAAAATCACAAAAAGATGGTTGGCAATGTAAAGAACAAGCAGCTGTAGTGTACTTAATTATCATTCTGAAGTACACATCCTTTCATGTGACTCTCAGCCAGAAAGCAAATAAGTATATTTTCCAAAATATTAAATGATTACATTTAGTATGTCTGAGTCCCAAATCGTTTAAAGGTGGGGTAGGTAAGTTTGAGAAACCGGCTCGAGATACACTTTTTGTTATATTCCATGGAATGCTCTTAACATCCCGATAGCAATGAATATCTTAAGTGCTTTGACAAAAAATCCATTCAAAAAATTTCATCTGTGGAAGCCGTAGTACTGTAAAAAGTACGACCAATCATTTGAGCCGGCCCGGCTAAAATAACTGGATGGCCTACCTGCCTGTCAGCCTTCCATCAGTGCACAAACTTATCTCGTGCCCTCATTGGTCATGTGCGCGTTCGTGTGTGTTGGAGGAGGGGCTCTGTAAGGAAGTGGCAGATTTTTTCCGGCTGTGTATTTTCAAATTCTAGCGCACTCGAGCAGGTTTCTCCAAAATTACCTACCCCACCTTTAAGTGAATTAACTGAAATTCCCAACTCTCATTAGATGCGGAAAATTGTGATGGCTATTGGAGGGGCTGGGGACCGGCTTCTGGACTGACAAACAGCTCCTTCATTCAGCCTACTTCGAGCAGTTGGTAACCTCACTTTTTTACACATTTTTACAAATTATTAAAGTTTCTTCCCACAAACCTCTCTTGTACCCTATGTGCAATATTCTGACATTTCTCCTTTCTCCTCCCTCTCAGCTATGCATGGGACCCTGAGTGCTCTAGTTGTTACTTCAAGATGCAAACCTGCCCCCCTCGTAGCAGCACTCTCACTCCGGCCCACATACAGCCGACCTTCCACTGCGCAGAGCCCAGCAGGACGCAGCCGATGACAGAGTACCAATCCAGGTACTCTGCTGCGGTAAGAGACTGTGTGTCTGTGTGTGTGATGATCATCAAACACCTTGTATTTATTTCGCTAATGACCTTGTGTGCCTACTCCTAGTGGGCCCAGCCTAAGATGCAGCAGAGTTGCGGTCACCATCGTCATTGACCTCCTCAAAAGACACTTTATTCTTCCCTCTGAATCTCATCTCTTGCTTCAATACACTGCAGATCAACCAAAATACATTGTTTGTGTCTTGTGTCAAACAGTTTAAAAAAAGGGATGCTATTTCTTCCAATCACTTGCACTTTTTAGCCTGAAAGGGGTACCACATGGGAAAAATCCTTCCTAACAGAGGCAGCGGTCAATGATTCTCGCCTCAGGATACAGAAGCTGAGGATGAGTCATAAAACAGCAGTAAAGCATCTGCTGGCAGGAAGACTCTTAAAGGAGACAGTACAATGGGCTTCTTGACATCCTGAGGTTTAACTGTGCAGCAGCAGTTAAGAAGTACACAGATCCCTTTAGTAAACATACCACAATATAACATTTAAGTAAAGTCCTGCAGTAAACCTACTGTGCTCTAGCAATTGTAAAAGTTGTAATGATTATTACTTAAGTCTTGTTCTAAAAGTCTCTAGTACATGCAGCTTTAATGTACAAGTAAACACACTTAACAGGGTGCTGCCATGGTGAAAAAAAGGGAATGCCTTCTCCGGTTTTATCATTTATTTTTCAACAAAAAAACAGTTCTGCAATCACGTTCTGAGTAGCAGAGATTATAAGGGGTCACTAAGGTCATCATACTAGATTGATGATGTTCTGCTTGCTTTATAAAATGGTGATCTTCCAATGGGGTCATTTGCGTCCGTGAGTGATGCCACACTCATTTACTGCTTCTGTTCGGGGGTTAGATGATTCATCCTTGCTGCTCTTTTTCTGAGACTCCCTCCTAAATGGGTAATTGGCATGTGGCTTTTGTCATTGTAGTCAGACACCCTGAACAAGCCACTCGCTCCTCCTTACAGAAGTGGTTGACTGTAGAAAACGACCCTGACCCCACCACTCCAAAGGGAGGACATCATTCGGCCATAAATGCTCTGGGTCTGTTTCAGGAACCTCATATGTTTTGTGTTCAGAAGGACTGGAGACAGTAGCCAGCATGAGGCCTAAAGAAAGGAGGTCAACATGACCTGTGCGGCAGCGTGTTGCTTTTTCCCTCGTCCTCGTGTTTTTCAGTGAAGGATGATTGAAGTCAGTTTGTCCTGACGTGTGAAGATCTCCGGTGAGGAAGTCCAGATAGAAAGAGCGCCAAGTCGATTGTGTAGTTTGATGTTTCATAGCCTTCCTAAAACATAGAAACATAACTTCAGTTACAACTTAATGACTTCTTGGGTTGAAATTGTAAAAAAAAAAAATCACATTACATAGCATCAGGAGGTTCCCAAACATCCCTGATTGTTCCTGTTACTTTAATGGCTGCTAGACATTTTTAATTGGCATTTTCTACATTAAGAGCACTTTGTTCATACCTGCAGCGATCTGCTCTGGCTCAAGCTCCATACCCATGTAATATTTCTCCCTTCTTAGAGTTTTCATTTCCTCCGATGAAGGCCAATGTTTGAACAATCTCATCACAAAGTTCATTCAGAAGATGACCTTCAGTCATAACAGTCGTCATGGGATTGCAAATGCCCAAATAAGTGGTGCTAGAGAAAATGGATATTTCAACTTTACATTTCCATGACTACTAGGGAAAATCTGCCAGGAAGATTTTTGTGATATGATCCAAAGCTTGAGGACAGATACTGAATGGTCCTTGTGGTGAGATTGTTTGTAACATTCATGACAATAACAAAAGTATATAGAATAGTTTTGTCAAGGCTACATTTTAACAATACCCTGACAATTAGGCAAATGATTGTACAAAATAACACCAAGCATATATACCTTTACTATTACACTACTGTCCATTTAGTAAACCAAATTAAAAGAACATTTCCCAATGAAGCAACATTGATAGTATTAGAGGTTATTTGAATTATACAAATCTTTGGAAAATAGAAGCATAAAACCATATTGATTTATTGGGGACCAGTGTGCATCAAAATGTGACAAAAGACCAACAAAGAGCAACTGTCTTTTAACATCTTTATTCTTCTTTTTTCATTATTTTTATTTGTATTGAAATTCTTACTCTTTGTGTCTTCAGGACCTCTTTTCTTTTTTCTTTTTTTTTTAAACGGCGTATGTCATCTAAACGCGTCTAAACAAAATCACCAAAAATGATTTCATGTTGTACAATCCACCTGGCGGACATTCCTATTGGCTTCACCAGGGCGCCATTCACCACAACACTGTGAGGAAGTTCAATTTTAAACACAGATTTCACACTTTAAGAACACACCGGAGTACTTGTTAGGCTGCATGGTTGTAAAAGGAGAGCTCAAATACTTCAATAAGTTACAAGTGCACAAGTGTGTTCTTAACACCTAAACACAACAGACATTATCACTGTTAATACTAAAAATGAATGGTGACATTAAGAACATATATGTTCAGGTCACAAGATAATGCCTCTGCATTTTAAACCATAAGTGGCTGAGACTAGAACATGACATCTGGGTTTCCTGAAAAGCATCTTCACATACTACTACCTTTCCCTTTTCGACTCAATGGGAGATTATACTTGCACTAAACAGGCGATGTTTCAAGGAAAGCCAGACCGCTACAAAGATTTATGGTTAAAAAGAACTTCCTCAAAAGACGTCAACCTACAAAGAAGAACAGCAAGGAAGCCATACTGCCAGCCACATGTTCCATACTGCTTTATTCTGATTGGCCATGACAATATTGTCCCCTCACATTCCCTCCTGCAAACAGGACTGAATGACACCACAGGTTACTGTACCCAGTAGAGACACAAAATTCCTCATCCTCAAAAACATGAAGAGAAAAAAAAAGAAATAAAATAGGAGGAGAGGCTATTTGAAAACCTGATTTGGATATGGACACTTGATCTGATGCTGGACAAACCAAATGATCCGGCAGAAAGAGGCAGTGGCTGTGTTCCAGACCAAATACTCCCCTGTAACAAGGTTGTTCACTACACCCCATAAATCTAAATTGAACTAAAGGATGACGCCGTGAACACAAATAACTGAGATTTTTTTATTAAAGGGCCAAAAATCTCTGACCTTGCCTCTATAATAATATTTGTCTTGCTTAACTCAACTGGATGCATGATTGAGAAACTCACGCATCTGAGAAAAGATAAACATGGACTTCCACATAAATTGGGAAAATAACTTCTCATCCATGATTACCTGTCTGTTCAGATCACTTCAAGAACAAGCGTGCAGGGAGGGTGGGGTCTGTATTTAGTTTGGAACGGAGCCGCCGCAGATACAAAGAAGAGCCCACATTTATAGATGCACAAGAGCTGTGACGTCGCCATGAGCTTATTACGTCATAGTAGCAAACGGGTGTGACTGACCGTAATGACACAACAGAGCAGCTGCAGAAACCCATCAAGTCCCCTGAAATGTTAGTCATTCTTTAAACTGTACTATTGTGGAGACCTTTGATCTACAGACGATGTTTCTCAAATCTGACAGCACACAAATTAACACTTAAGTGAAGCAATTTCTCCAAGTTTATTATTATTAGGTGTTTTTGGATTGACGCTTTGTCCTGGTTTCACTCCTTGGTAGCTGCCTCAGTTCCAAGGGGACATCGATGAGATCTGCATACTCTGTAAACATCAACAGTGCCATCTGAAATGCGATGATGAGCTAGCGCCCGCAGTAAGGGCGGTGCTGGTATTACACCCCTCCCCCACCCCGTTCCCAATGTCCCTCAGTTTACAAGAAACAAACAGGAAATAAAAAGATTAAAGAAACAAAAAGAAAAATAAAGAAAAGAAAAATAAATCCCCCCACCCCCCAACTGGGCCTGTCAGCGCAACATTGACTTCAAGCGTGTAGGAGTGTGTGTGTGTGTGTTGTGTGGGTGTGAATCAGTGTGTGTGCGGCCGTGACCGCCAGAGTCTCTGAGAATATGTGAGAACTGGTGTGTGTGCGTGCGCGTGGAGGCTCCATGGGGGTGAGGGGGACTCCTAGTATTTCTTCCCCGGGACAAACTCCTTCGCCTCGGGATTCAACATGCTCTTCCTCTGCAGACAAAAACACAAACGAGTGTAAGAAAATCTTTCTTTTCACATGAATTTATTCTTTAAACATTAATTTTCTAGATTAAGCAGTTGGTGTAGGAAAGGTAAAAAAAAAAAAATCTATCCCATCCATTTTTTTTTAAATCCGATTATTTTTTTAAACTGAACCCCAGAGATATTTACTTTAATAAGATATAAAAGTGAAATCTGCATAATTGAGATGCTGAATACAGACATTTGTATTTCTCTTTATGTGTAATTAAATGCTCCTTTGACTCACCGCCACTTCCTCCAGGTTGTGGTGATCGTTGACGGACAGCCCGTTGAGCTGCTGCTGCAGCTGCCCCACCCCCTGGTTGTTGAGGTCACGTGAAGGGATGAACCAATCCTGGTCCTCCTCTTCCAGCATTTCCTGGAAGCAGCGTTCCAAGAACTCCTGCTCCAAGAGCTCCTCTTCCACCTGGGGGGAAAAATAGAACGGAGTGTTGACATTGGTGGGCAAAAGAACACGGGGAGGAATATAGGAGAGATCATTTGCATGATAAGTGGGTAAAAGGTCCCCTAAAGAGGAATCTTCTCGGTAATGTAGTGGCACTTGATTCATCCAGGCGAGCAAGAGAAAAGGATGAGATACAGAAAGAGAAGGGGAGGGTGGGAGACTCCAAAAAAGCTAAATACAATGCATAAGCATATATTTATACAGGATGGCCTCAGTGAGTGAAGAGACAGGAGGAAGGAAGGGGGGGCTGAGTTGGGTAAGACGCAGTAGGACACGTAGGAAGGGGCAGAACAGCAATAAGAAGAAGAGGGAAAGTGGAAGGTGGAGAGGTCATTTAGAGAAATATATGTGTTTTGGAAAAACAGAAAGGGCAAACGCCAAGTAAAAATAAGAAATAGGAGTGGAATGAAACTACGAAAGGACGTCTCAATCCAAACTTAAAAATCGGTTGGAATATTAGGAATTGTCCATGGTATGAGCACTCACCTGTCTGTTATACTCTTCTTCGTTCTCCATCCACATGTACTCAGCGAAGGGATTGGCGTCGCTGCCCTCTCCTGCGTGCCCATTGGCCACCGGCTCCTTTCCCTCCTTCCCTGGAGCTCCGCCTCCCGGTGTCTTGGCCACCTCTGGACCGCTCATCTCTGCCGGCTCTGCACGACAACACAGGTACAAAGACGTTAAAATAAAAATACAAACTTTAAGGGTAAATCTTCTCAAAAACGTCATTATTTAAAGTATATGTAAAGAAATATGCTCAAACCAACTAAAACACCCCGCAAACATATTTTTGTTTCATTTTTAGAAAGGCAGATCACTTTGACTCGTTCATTAACCCCCAGCCGAGTCTTAGGCTGCAGCCACACGAATACGATAACGGTCGTATCCGCTACAGTTCTCTATCAGATAGACGGTTCGGCCACACGAGGCCGACATGGAAACGCAGAAAACGATAACGGGTCCCAAGGTGGGTAGATCTGCGGACGAAACGCTCTGGGGGGCCAAATGGCTCCGTGATTACGCCCTATACGATCATTTCCTGATAACGATGACGCAATAACCCCAGTGTTTCGAGCCAGGTCCCGGTATCTCGCAGGACAGTGCACCCAGCAGGAGCTTCCAGCTAGATTTGATCGATATGGACATAAACGCGAGTGAAGTCTAATCGGACAGGAGAGGAGACACGCAGCTCTGCATGATAACCTGCAGCTCCGCCCGCTGTGATGGAGCGATGAGCGGAACAAAACACACACTTCAAGTTAGATAATCACCCTTAGCTATTTTAATTACCTCTCAAACTACCTAAACTAGTTATAAATATGTTTATTTTTACTGTCGGGTCACTCATTACTGGATCAGCCAGCTGCATGAGACCACGGATACTGACAGGAGAGAGGGAGGAAAAGAGAGGCTCCGTCCTCCGTGTATTATTCTTATATTATTATATAGTCGTTATTCATTTGTTTTAAAGCTTAATAAATAACAAAGAAGACCTTTGACCGGCACTTTTCTAATTTTGTCCGGAAGATTTAAACTTTAACGGACATGTTGACCGGCGAAACTCCACCTCTGCTGCTAAATCCAGCGCGGAGAATAAACAGAAGGGCAACCATGCATGCGCGAGAAGTCTTCTTCGCTACTTTTGGTGTATTTTGTGGCAGAAGTACAGCGCCACTTACAGGCCCGGCATATGTACTACAGCGTCTCCAGCGGTTCGAGCTGTCTCGTGTGGACGAACACGTTTCTGGTGCCTACTGCGTGTGGACGGAATACTTTTTTGATAACGATTTCGGTGCGTTTCTGTTATTGTCCTTGTGTGGCTGCAGCCTTATTGGCTGTTAAATTAACATTATCCCAGCTGAATCAAGGCTGAGGCCCAGGATCCAAATTGGACAAATGGGCAGCATCTCAAACACATCTTTAGCTACAGCGGAATAACTGCTCCCACGGGTAATAGAGTCTGAGTTTTGCTGCTCATAACCAACAAAGAACTGCCAAAGAACAATTTTCCATATCTAGGGATGTGAAAAAGAGACGGAGGGAAATATGCAACACCGTCTGGGACTGATCCTCTTCTCTGAAACTTCTTTGTGGTAACTTAAAATGTCATCCAAATCTAAATTAATATGACGGCTTAATGAAAAGTTTGGTCTTTTAAGACTCTTATCAATCAGTTTTCATGTTGATGAATTTAAGTGCTTCTGTGAAAAAGGCCAGAGTGAATTATTAGCAAGGAAAATACAAACTCTGGAGTTCACTGACATTTCCAGGCAAACAAACACCCAGAGAGCTAAAAACCATTTGGATTACGCAATTATAAAGAGAATATACTAGTCAACTTCCTCGTTTCAATTTACAGTTAATCTTTAGTGTTTGTAGCAAAACAAAAAGGTCAACAAAGATTACAATCTAAGTCATGGGCAGCAAAACCAAGATATGTAAACACGACAGTGGAAAGTAAGATAAGTGTTAGTAAGACTAGTAAATGCAGAGGCTGCAGGTGTTGCGAAAGGACATCTGTCCCTTAGCTTTTAGCTGGAGATTTATTAGCAAACCACTTAATTAAAAGGAAGAATACAAATTGGAATTATTTTAGTTTCGCTGTCTTTCATGAAACTGTGGCATTAAATGTGTGCTTTTGTCGTAGCTTGATGGGTTAGGAAAGTAAATGTGTTGCATGTGTCAATAACTGATTTTCTGTAAGCATTCTTTACATATTTCGCTTTCTTATGGAATACTTATTAGTTTCACTATAATTACATACTGCAGCTGCCTAAAGTATGCATACAATTGGAACATACTATTTTACACTTAAACTTTGACCCCCTTGCTCATACATCAATCGCCGTCTGTCAATGAGCCATCATCACTCAATGCTCAAGGCATTTCTACCTCCCCAAAAAACACACAAACTTTCTTGTTCTGAAACACAAAGTGCCATGCTGTGTGCGTCTCCCCATTCCCATCTTGGCTAAAATTATGATTACCTTCATGATGCCAGCAACAGCTGTCAGACAAACCATATTATGTTACACCATCAACAAAGGTTAATTATTTTTTTATTTTCCAAAACATGTCAGAATGCACAGTCAGTTAATCCAACTGGTTTGCCACACCGGACTGGTAAAAACTGAAGTTGACTCTTTACACTACTTTGATATGGTAAAATAGATGATTAAACATAATATGAGCATCCCTTCTTTTCCTGCTCTGATAAGAAATGCCCACTTTTAATGACATAATCTTCAGACTGCCAGCCAGCTCCAACAGACTTGTCATGACTCAACTGCAGCCCCGCATTGGGGGGAGGGGGGAGAGGGGGGGGGGGGGAGAGGGGGGGGGCGATGATCTCAACAAGGCTTCGCGCAAACGCAGCCCCAGGGTCGGCCTGATGCAGACACATGATGGCAATGTTTGACTCCCAGCAGCTTAACACACAAGATATCCACATTCAGGTTACATATACACCTATTCCAGCTGCCTCTAACGCCACACAGTTACGTACAATCGTCCATCAGAAGAGTTTAAATAAACGTGTATAATATAAGTAGGTTAGTAGACTAAGAGGAGAGTCTGCCTGCCAGGCTCAGAGCTGTCTCTGTTTGTCTGTCTGTGGATAAACCAGTCTATTAATGCAGTGAATGGATTCACATGCTACCAAGGCAAATAATAAGTGAGGCAAGGAGAGAGTGAGAGGGTAAGAAAGAGCATTTTGTAAATTAATACGACAAGCCTACATTTTATTCTGCACTAGGTAAGCAAGGCGCCAGCATGTTGGACGTGTTTGAAGCCTGCGTGTGTGCCAAACTGCCAGTGTGTTCAAACTCCCTTTAACTGCAGTCTATAAAGTGTTATGGAACAACAAAGATGTAAATTGCCAAAGTTAAACGGACAGTTTAAAAAAATTCACTTAGGATGTGTTGCACTTAAGCATAATTTGATATATCAGGCATGATTGGTGTATTTACTTGCTCTATGAATTGCACAAACATATTTTTGTTTCCACATTTTGGAACGTGTTGCTTTTCTCTGTTTTATGCTACTTAAAATTGAATATCATTGGGTTTTAGACTGCTATTTGAACAAAACAAGCCACTTGAATCATCACCATGGGTTTGTCGTAAAAAGGCAATTATCATTATTTTCTGACAAGTTATAGATTACACCATAAAGGCCTTAGCTGCTAAAAAATAGGATCAGTATTAAGAGGAATAAGACAAATGGGGTGCAGCCCTATTATAGACTACAAAAAAGTATGAATCCATAATGGTTAAGAATGATCATGTGATTCACCTTGTGAAATCAATTCCAACAATTGAGTCACTGTAAACAAGCCTCCGCTCAGGGGACATAAGAGAAGATTGCGCAGCGTGTGAAACAGCATGAACAAGGAAAAGTGGAGACAGAGAGCACAGTGCCATTATGTACCGCATGTAGCACTTAACATGTTCATGTTGCATAACCATGTGTCAGTCACCATGTAATATTTAGTTAGCAGGTCCTAGCGTCTTCCATGCCTGGGAGCAGAGTGTGATCTAAACCGATTTGATGAGGGTGAAGGATACACAATGGAAAGGTAAAATGCTGCTCAGCAGTAATAGAAAGATAAATATAATTCAGAATATCAACAAAAATTGTGATGCGATTAAACACTAGTACTGAGTCAAATGGCATTGTCTTAATGTAGCGAAAAAATGTTTCTTGTACATTTTGTTGCGAGCAGTTCATGTTTTTCTAATTGACACGGGTACAAACTATGCACTGACATTAGATTACAATAAAAGAGATTTGTATTTTTATAAAAAATTGGCGGTGTCTTTTGGTTTGAATGGAAGAGAACATTCTAAATATCACGATTAAAACACTCAACAATGGCAAATGTTTATGATCAACCAATATTGGGATCAATTTGGCAGGTTGATGGTTTTAGACAAAGAAAAAGCAAGTTAAAATGTCACATTAGTCTCTGGGTCACTGTGATATTTTCACAAAGATTATTTTTGTATGTACAGTCTACATGAAAACTAAAAGAAAATCATATTTATTAAAAACAATTGTTGGTAGCCACCCTAAAAACAGAGATTATAAATAGTTGGATATGGATATTTTTCAGTTTTTTTATCTAGGCAGATTAATCGATGACCAAATTAATTGTAAGGCCTAGTTACAAAACTAGTACAAATACAGTCAAATGTTATGTTTTAAAAGACATGTGAAAAAGAAAAGCGGATGGATAAAAGAAGATAATCGATTGAATCACTGTTTTTGCTTAAAAACCAACTGAAGCAACAAATAAAATAGTTGCTAATTATTTTACTGTCGATCTGAAACGACTAATCTATTGATCGTTTCGACCCTAGTTTATGCAATTAAATAAACTGTTCATAATATGCGTTTTTAAGATCCCATGATAACCCGCCTCATAACAGATTATGTAATGTAACAGTTAGCACACCGTGTGTAATGGGATGTGTCGTAGTAGCTTATAGCATGCTAACAGCTAACAGGCTGAGCCAGGTGTACGGGCCTACCTGGAAAGTTGTGAAATGGCTGGGACGCTGTTAGCCGAGGTAATGCTAAGTGGCTAGCTCCCGGTAGCTGCGGATAGATAGATGCACATAGCGGTGCTGTCAATGCACGGGCCTAAGGTGAAAGCTATCCCACCAACAACAAAAGGGAAGCGGGATAGGGTGTTTACAGTAACATGATACAGCCTGAAAACAGCTTAAATGGAAACAAGGCAATGAATAATAATGATATGATACGTTATTGCAACACTTTCACCGAGGTCAAACTCCGTCCCTGAGCGGATGCTTGAGGCCAAACAAAGTGGGAGCTTCGCTATGAGCTAGCACGCTGCTACAGCATGGCAGCATCACTGAAGCAGGTCAACAAAACAAGCTCCGTGCGGGGATTACAACATACACACCACGAAGCGTACAGATGTTTTTAAAAGTCAAAGTTACCTGGCATCGTGCTCCTTTCAAAGTGTGACGTTACACAATGTTATTATAGCAACTATACAGCGAAGAGTGCGTATTCGTCGTTCCTCCGGTGGGGATTACTCTGTGCTGCGATGCAACGTAGCTCAATTTAGCTAAATCCTGTTAGCCACCTTGCTAGCGTTAGAAAGCTGGGACTGTCACGTGGGTTGGGGGCTGCATTCGTGTTCTTTCAGGAAAGTGGGATTTCTAAGTTAACTTCACATGAAACCAAGCGGAAAATATTGTAGCCATCTTTACATATCTATATAGCACAAATGAAACGAGCTTAAAAACTAAGGCTATAACATTACTCCAAATTATAGCCTAAATTAAAAAGATAGGTGCTTGATTATCCTTTTAAAATACACAGAGAGAGGAGATCGGAGTTTAAGATATGTATTATTATTTTTAATTTACGTTTCTTAATGTAACATGGTTGTATTGTTAATATTAAAGTGTACATTTGTTTTACGTTTACAAAAAGGAAGACATTCCCATCTGTAGTTTTGTGAGACAAATTAAGGAACATATAAAATAAATGCAGTGTTTGATCTGTTATAATCTAATAATCTAGCTAAGAATCCTAACCAAAAAGAGTTTTAGTCTACAAAGATATAAAACAGAAAAATCACATAAGCAGGGCTGTAAGAACATACATTTTAGTTTCTTATTAATAAATTGCTTAAAACCATAAATTAAAGGATCAATAGTTCAATCAAACTGTAATTAAAAACTACCAAAATTGTTTATTTTCTTCTATAAACTAAGTATAAAAAGATTGGTAATTTGCTTGAAATCAGACTGATAGTTCTATGTGTGATATTGCAAACATGTGGCGTTACATGATCTAAAGGGAAACTCAAAAATATGTACATAGCGTGCACGTGGAGAGCAAATGAAAAACAAACTGGCCAAAAGGGTCGTCAGAATGAATTGATGTTTGTTCAAATATTTGCAGTGATGCACAGAAACAGACGTGTCCCGGATATGCAAGCAGCTCCATCATAACATCTGGTTATATTCCACCACAGTTGTTCCCTTCCTATTCCCCCCAGGGGCTAACGCTGGGTGATTAGATGATGGATCCAAGATTGAACAAAATCCAGCACTGCTGCACTTTGAGCAGAAAAACACTGTAAATCACAAATCTCCTCTGAAATATTACAACATAAACACCATCAAGCATGCCTGAAATAGATCGCATTACTTTCTTCTCTGGTCATATGTCCTAGTGGTTATTAACGTTAGTTCATCGTTAGCTTTGAGTGACTGACATTGTGGTAGCCTGATTGATTCCTTTGCTTCTGAAAGCAACAAGACAAGACAAGTGCGACCAGTCAGTATTTGGAAGTATAAGGAAGCTGCTCTCCAGAAATAAACAACATAATAAAACAGTTAATAGGAAATATAGAAGAGGCTTTACATTGTTGACTGTTTAAACGTATTGCTCAGTGTGTGCACTTATAATGCTGAGGTTATAATGTTCAGATTTTGTTGAGACTGTAAGAGAGAAGTTTAGATTATATTTTAAGGTCATTTCGGAGACTGTGCTTGTTGTGTTGTTGAGTCATTAACTGAGATAGGTTTCTAATATTTTGTCCACCATGAGCCGCGTTCACACCGGAGTACCCCTTATGTCTCGTTCACACCAAAAAGAGCACTTAATCTCGGGAACTTCTACCCCCATTTTTAGTGCCTGCTGAGAGATGGTACTTTCCTGGGGGAAAAAAGTGCCCCAGTTCTGATTGGCTGGGCGAATTGCAAACCACGCCCCGTACAACTCTGAAATGTTTTGTAGAGCCGCCATTTTATTTACTATTTACTCGGAAGTCCCCAACTCCGGGGACTTCCGGCCGGGGACTCCGGGTGGCAGCATACGCCGTGAAGTTGTTTGCGGCCTGCCAGTAAACCCAAAGCAGAAGAAGACGAAGTAACGTCAGCGGGTCATTTGCGTAATCTTCAATCAGGGAAAAGTACTCCGGTGTGAACGCAATCTGTACTAAATGCCCTGGGGTTATAAATGCCGGGGCACTGAGTGCCGGCACTAAATACGGCAAAGTACTTGGTGTGAACGCGCCTATGAGTCTATGTCAATGAACGTAGACTAAATATGATTAACAAGGCCATACAAATGATATAATTCATCAGCAAAACAATGACCATAGAGTCGATCAGCAAATAGAATAGAAAATGCATCACAATTTTCCAACAATTAAATTATCTTTAAGTTGCTTTTATTTTTCAGACAAACGTACCTTTACATTTAAAGTGGACCTATCATGCTATATTTTAATAATATAGTGTAGGACCATACCTATATCAGGCATATTTATACTTTTTTTTTCTTCAAAATACCAAACAGATCATGCATTTTAGCCATGCCTCATTTTGCTCAATTTGACATTTGTTTAGCTCTGTTTGTGTAAGGGCAGAACAGCACCATCTACTGTCCTGGCATATGTACTACAGCGTCTCCAGCGCTTTCGAACGGCAATGGCCGTGGCTGTCTCCTCCTGATTGGTGGAGTTGGCCCAATAGCCGTAGTGCCACTGTCCTGACGTCAGGAAAGTGTTCAAACCTGGATCAGTTTTTTATCAGATCCGTTGCAGCCCCTTTTTTAGAGATTTGGGTATGGAGGAAAATAGAGAGGGTTGTGTTTTCTGACACTTGGTGAGTTCCCTGGAACACCGGGGACACATATTCATGTATAAAAGACGTACAAAAGTGCATTTTGCATGATAGGTCCCCTTTAAATTATCTTCTCGAAAGAGGAGCCACATATCGTATCATATACAACTGGAGCCATTCTGCTTAAAAATGACTTATGATCCCCCAAGGGGTTGCAGGATAAATGTGGAGAAATATCTGAAGAATAAAAATCAAGTGACAAGAAAATAGATTTAACTATTTTTTGCATAATTTAATAAAATATTGCACTTCTAACATCTTTTTAGTTGAAACATCCCACAAGGAACATTCCATTTGGGTTACATGTTTGCAACATATGCAAACTAAATGGCCAAGAACAAATCACAACATGTAATCGTTTCAGCCGTACACGTCACAGTAACATTGAGAGGGGAAACTCGGGGCTCACAAAGGGTCCTTGAACGCAACATGTGAACAAACATCCCTCCGCCACACGACCACTACACTTTTTATACACATATGCCTGCGTGGCTTGAGAAATAAAAGCTTTTCTGCAAATAAATAACACATAATCAGCACTTAGTTAACTTTTGTTTTGAAGGTCAATTTAAGATATGATAAACAATCAGACTTTTAAAGATAAAGTCTGTTCTCTGAATCAGTGTATAAGTAAAGTCTAGTAGCCTATCATAGCCTGTGTTACTTATCTAAGAATAGATAGCCTATAAATGCAACTTTTGAATACTGCATATGTTCCCTAACTTGACAGCGCTCTCGTGTAATACTCTACTACAATACAGTTCTTTTTTTATTAAGAAACTTAAGTTTGTTTGTCTCCTTTTCATCGTTCTCATAAAAGTTGTCTCTTCTTCTCATGCTGATATTTTAGTTGGTTCAACACCATAAGTAATGTTAACAGTCACGTTGATTCAATCTATTAATAAATAGACCTCTATAAGGGAATTTGCACACGGTAATTGCTTTTCTGAATAACATTGTTCGCACGGCTAGCGTTTCTTGATTCTTTCTTCTCGCTTTGTTGCTGCTCATTCTTTATTTTTGGTAGCAAACAGCTAGCATCCCCCTTCACTCCACCAATAACAACAGACTCACCAACTTAAAGTGCTCACAGGGGGAATCTGCAAACCAGCTGTCGGGGGAAAACGTCTTTCCGGTCCCGGGCGTCACAGGAAAACCACACAGTAAACCAATTCTTCTATTAATCTCCAATTTACAAAATAAACACGTGTCTCCTTTGTCAGTTTCTTAACGGTTTTGTCTAAGAAAACCCGGAGAAATCCACTGTTTCTCTGCCGAAACGTCGAGGGGGGAAAACGCTGTGTCGTGGGTCGCGTTTGTCCAGCTGTATAGCTCAGTCATTGGTTGAAATATACGTCAGTCAACGCTTCCTAATGATGCTATTCGTCCAGATGACCATACGCCCCACGCACCACATTTCACGTAAGTAAACAAAATATAACCCATTTGCCTCGCTGCCTCTTTTTTTGTAATCAATGAACCCCGGTAATATTTGACAACGTGGCTGTATTCACTAGGTCTACAATTTCTTAAAAACACCACACTGTAGTTTTAATATTTTTAAAGCTGAAAAAGCGAAAAGTTGTCAACAGAAGATAAAGAATGTAATGTGTGAGTGTGAGCAGAGGCGTGCACATGCTTTTCAGGAGGAGAGGAAATCCACGATGTGTGTCACATGATTTATTACCGTCACATAGAGTCTCATGTTCTTTAAGAAATACACATTTAGTAGGCCATTCATATTTATATTTGTGTTCTTCTTCTCAACAGCTCTTTGGTATGAACAAAGGAAATCGAGTTGTACTTGTTAAGTTGTTCCATTATTTATTCTTAAATCTGTTTTGCACAAAGTTCTTTTTTTTTAAATCATTATAGGATACTTGTTTTTATATCGTGATATTACATTTTTTTAATATTACATTTAGGAAACATTGCATTCAAGGCAAGGCAACTTTATACAGTATAAACACGACACTTTCCATACAGTGGTACATTCACTGTAGTACATTCCCTAACAAGGCAGATGTAGATAATTGAAATTAGGCAATAAGTAAAATGGTGATGCTAAATCTAGTCCACACTTGCAAATTAAAATTATAAAGGTGGGATATCCAGGTTTGATTGTGATCAAAATCTTACCGATCATACAGTGAATATTTATTATTTATGAATAGATAAACCTAGTTACCCTCGACCTCTCAAAGGAACCTCAAGCCATCTTTTTGAATGTCTTTAAAAGGAACAAAGTCATAAGATCTGGCATCATTTCATGCACTACTTTTTCTTGATGTTCTTTAAATACCCTGACGGCAATGAGTTGTTTAATCGGAAACTTCCACACAAACACAGTATTGTGGTTATTTGATAATTGATTGCTGACTGTCACGAGTCAAAAGTAGCCTTTAAAGCATAATGCCTGGTGGTGCTAATCATGTGTAAAGTGAACCTTAAGTTACAGTAAAAAAAGGTGTTGTATGCTTATAGATAAATAATGTATGTATTTCTAAACTAATGCTGGAATTTATTTTCTAATATTCTGTCTATTATCAATTTAAATATGAAAGTTTCAATGATGTTTATGACAAATGGAAAAGTGCAATAAACCAGTGCTTCAGTGTAGAATCTTGTTGCCCTGGAGGATTTTGATGAACTAATTTCCTAACATTTAAGTGCCCTCCTATTAGTTACAGCAACAGAAACATTTTTCTCTATGTGTTTTGACAGTAAAATTGGCAGTGGCATGTCCTACAAAAAGGTCAAAGTTTCATCCGTTGGTTTGATTCGAAGCTGACACCTTGTTTGCATCAGAGCCTTTTACAGCCTCTTTTTTTAGATAAATCAAAATGATGAGTTTCTCCTTTTTCCATCATGCAGGTTTAGAGATCCGACAATGTTTTTAGTATTGACAGCTATTCATCAGAACCACTGTTTGGCATAAACAAGAGGACGACAGTGGTGTGTTTGATATAACCTTCGTAGTTTAGTGAAAACAGTATTAAATTGCTCATTTAGTTCAGGGTTCTGGCACGTTAACACTCCTTTTCTAAGCCTGAACTGCCACACGGATTCAAATAATCCATGACGCGCTATTGTTTTCTATCCTCATTCAGCCTCTGTCCTTAATAACGACTGAGGTGGAATGAACAACATTCACCTGGAGCAGCTGTTCTCTTGAAAGCTAAAGGGGAGGAGATTTAGCAGTAAATAGGAGGGTGCATTACCCTGAAATCACAGTGGAGGGCGACTGTAACACACAGTGTGGCTGTTGGGCAATATGCTGTCAATGTGGAGCACAAATATGTACCCCTATGTACATGAGAAATACTGCACCACCATAACCAATAATACTTGTTGAAATTAGTACTAAATAAAGTACTCCATGAAAGTGGGACCAATCTAAAAGAGGGACTCTGTCATGCGACATTTGGGGATCTTTTCTGAAGCGGCTTAAGGACAGCTCACCAAATTCAGGTCTATTTTTATGCACATTGTTTTATATTTTAACGACAAGGCAGGTAAATATCACAGCTCCAGAGTTAAGTGCTGAATACTCATTGAAAAGCAAGTGACTGTACTCTGTACTTATACCACTTATTTTTTCTTTTTTAGGTGGTGGAGGAAGAACAAGATGTTTGCAAGAAGTCAAGGTTACACAAGGTTAGTAGCTAACATAGAAATTATAACTTTGGGGGTGAATTATTCTTTTAACACACTGCCTAGACCTTCATACTGTCACAGGAGAACACAGCAAAATATTGCATTTACACGTACCAACTGTTCTCACACTATTGGTTGTTTTTC